TCACTGTCACATGTATATGTTCAGTTCCATTCATTAGAGCATCCAAAGCGAAGGAGGCGCGTTGTTCTTACCCTGGAACCTGGAGTCTGCAGGTGAGATGATGTAACGTTAGACAAGTGCCAGAAAGAGGTGATGTTGGGACAGTGAAGGGCACATCTTGTCTACTAGAGGGAATCAGGAAAGGCTCCGTGGAGGAGGTGGTGTTGAGGTGAGCTTAGGAGGACTGTTCAGGTCATTAGGTTGACATGGAGATGGAAAGTGGGCCAGGTGAGGTAAGGACTTGAGCAGAAGGTGGGCTCTGGGAGCATGTGAGTGAGCTGGGCTGGGGAGTAGCTGGGGAGAGGCTGCGGGGGAGGGGAGGAGTGGGGCTTCCTGGGGTCGTGTGTTGGACAGAGGAGGAGAAGCTTCTAGGTAAGAGGGAAAGGGATGGCAGCCTGAGGACATAGGCAACTGGGCTTCAGTGCCACTGCTGGCTAGTGTCTGAATCCACGGGGTGCAGGGAGCAGTGGCTTTGGGGAACATCTGCCTCTGTAGTACCTGCAGGATGTGGTGGGTGGGGGACTCAGATGGCTCACCGTGGTATGGGACCAGCTGGGGTCAAGGGGAAAAATTTGGGTGGGTGGATGGGGCCTTGGAGATGGGTCACTGCTAGTAGGGAAGTAGCCACCTCATGAGGTGACAGAGGCCTGCCCCCAGGCTTGTAGAGGAGAGGAGGAGGGATGGCCAAGGTGAGCTGTCCTCTGGCTGTCATGACCCTGATGAGGGTAGAGAGCGCCAAGGTCCAGAAGCTTTGGCTCCTTGGAGTAGACATGATGCCCCAAGTCATCTCTGCTCTCCCTCTTCCTCCACCCATTACCCCTCTTTGGAGTCAGGCAGACCAACTGAATCCTAGGTCTTCCCTTTACCAGATGTGGAGACCTGCTTACATGGCTTTGAGTCCCATCTCTCACATCTGTGAGATGGAAGAAGGATTACATCTTCCTTGTAAGATTAAAATTACTGATTAAAATCAGTAGAAAGATATCAATGGTTGACATCGGTGGCTCGGTGTGGGCACATGGTAAATATTGATAAATCATAGCAGCGAACATAATCATTATTATTGTTCTGTTACCCGCCTCTGTCCTCTCTCCTCAGGTCCCCACCCTCCTCCAGCAGAGCTATATATGACACTCCTCTTTTGCTCTTAGCCCTGAGGGCTCCCTCTTTGCCCAGCTCATGACCTACTCACACTTGAGCACAGCTACCTGCAGCTTTGCCCTGTCCTTGGGCCTCCACAGGGGCCAGCAGCCTCATGGTTGCCATGCCCACTCTCAGTGGTGGGGCCTGCCATCTGGTAGGATGGTAGGAAGCCAGGCCTGTGTGTGTGTGGTCAGCCAGGGTATCAGACCCAAGTGCCCGTCGCTTCTGTTTGTTAGGAAAAGAGGGGGTGACACCTGGGAAACCTTTTGCCTTTCCGTGTTAATAACGTCAGAGGCCTACTTTTTGTCTGATCCCTCCACACACACACTTACACCCACTCGCTCTCAAGCCCTCTTCCGTGGTTTCACAGCCTGCCCACACTCCTCCCCACCAAAGCCCTTTGCCTGCTTTGGGGGCTGGCATCTTGTGCCTCCTCATCAGGACCTGTGAGTGTTACTTAGAATTGTGCAGGAGTTGAGGAGGCTTCTGCTAGCCTGAGATGATAATTGCTCTATTTAAAGATGGCCCTGGAGCCAGAAGAAGCCAGGTGTCCCCATGTGTCTGTTGTAGAGCTGCCTTATGCTCAGTGGCTTGTGCAGGGGGTGGGGGCAGGGCAGGAGGTCCTAGGCAGTTGCCTCAGTGGTATCCGCCTGGCATCCCTCTCTGGGCTCATTTTTTTCACTGGCTCTGTGTGCCATTTGGCCAGAGGAAGTAGAATTGCTACCTGGTTCTCAGGGAGGCTGGGAAAGCGCTGCTGGCCTTGAAACCAGCTTCTCAGTTGTCAGAATGACCAGGAGGATTTGGGAAGAACGAGTTGGACCAAATAGCACCTCACAGCCTGTTCACCCCTCCTGAGAACTTTTCCAACTCCTTTCTTGTAAGGAACTCTCGACTCCACCCACAGGCCTGCCTTTGTCCTACACTAAGGTAATTCCTTCTCCCCTGCCACGGTGGGGTGCTTTCTTCTTCTCAGAGCTCTGCTCATCAATGACCTCATCCCTCTAAGGCAGACAAAACAAGGGTGGCAGGTTCCATCTTATAGCAGAGGCCTCACTAGTGGTGACCAGCCCATGGCAGATATCCCAGATCAGCTGGGCAAATACCCCTGAGATGACTTCCCAGGACCTCCTGACTGCCTAAGGTCATCTAGCTGGTCTCTGGTAGAAAGACCCATGGCCCAGATCTCCTAAGGCCCAGCTCTCAGCTTCTTCCTTTGCCTTGTACTGTAGGCTACCTGGGAATTTGCTGGGTTGAGACCACTCCCAGGACACCTGAATGCCTGAGCATACTTTGATCTCCAAAGGATAGCCCCTGCCGCAAAGGCCTTCCTAGCCTGCTCTCCTCTTCTGGTCTTTTATTTCTTTTTGATGAGTGGCTGAGTGGGAGAATAGAGGAATGTGAGCCCAGCTGTTGTTTGGAGAGGGAGGGTGAGGCCTGGGGCACAGGGGATGGGAGAATGGGAGGAATTGCTGTTAGCATCAGTGAGATGGCAGTTCTGCCCAGACTGGGACAGCAGCCCCTCCCCTCCACTTCCAACTTCTCTGTGGAACAGGGAGGTGAGTGTGGTCTGCCTGGCAGCAGCATCATTGAAAAGGTAGCCTGTAGACCAAGGCGTTCCTTTTCACCTTGGTAGCCTCTCAGAATCCTGCCCTACGTGGTGGGTGTCCAACTAGGGGAAAGGATTCCTGTGATCAGAATTTGTCTCTAGTGTCTATGCCTGGGAGCAGGTGTGTGACTACATGTGTATCAGCCCTAGGTCTTCATGTTCCTGTGTCTGCCTCAGAGAGAGAGAGAGAGAGAGAGAGAGAGAGAGAGAGAGTGTGTGTGTGTGTGTGTACGCACATGTGCACGTACCAGCTTGAACTATGGGCCCCTCTGTGAATGGTTGTGGATGTGAACTCTGGGGTTTTCCTGCTGCTGCTCTTTCATCTGTTCATTCCTCCTTGCCCCCCATTTCTGTAATGAGGGCTTCTGATGCCATGGAGAAGCCCCTGCCTGCCTTGCACTGCCCACTCTGATACCCAGAATTCTAGAGAGAGGTCAAAGCAGCCTTGCCCTCCTATGTTTCCCCTGCTGGGTTAGCCATGCCACAGGCCTGCCATGTCTGATGTCTCACCTCACGCTGGATCTTGAGCCTCCTCCATCCTGATCCTCCCTTTCTGCCTCTCCTCACCACTGGTGTGGACAGGAGGCTGCCTGTGTGTCTCTTGAAAAGGGAAGTGGAAGGCAAAGAAGGAAAGTACCATTTATGGAGTGCTTCCAGTGTCCCCACCAGTGTGCTCGGTGTTTCACACCCCTTCAGAGCCCTCCTGCAATGGGAGACCTAAAGACACTCCCTCTGAAGACTGGTTAAGCTGGTGGCCTTCCAGCAGTGGGCAGGCAGGTTGGAAGCTAATGGTAGGCAGGGAAACCTGCCTTCTTTGTTTTGCCCTCCTTTGCTCTGACCATTGGGCTTCCCTGTGCCAGGCTTAGGGCATCCATGGAGCCAGGCTGTGCATAAGCTGACTGCCCTCGCTGGTGACTTCTGGCAGTGCCAGCAATGGGGAATTCACCCTGAGGGAGCCCATCCCCAGCCATGAGCTGGTTGTTCCACACCAAAACTACTCAGGGAGAGTGACCCCCTAGTAGTGATCCCATGTAGACCCTGGTTCCTTTCCATCATTTAAGCTCTGCCCAATGTAAGGTGGTAGGCTATGAACCTAGAATCAAAGACTGCTATCTGCCAGACCTGCTTGCAGTCCTCCTTGGCAGGTTTTAGATGTGGGAAATGACTTGAGCCAGAACCTCCTCCCTGAATTATGGGGCACTGTAGCAGATCAGGGCTCTCTGCCTGTCCCAGTGCCCAATATGTGCCTCTCCAAGACCTCAGCCATGTTGTGCCCGTGGTCAGGGCAGGACCTACTCTGCCCCTGTTTCCTATGACCCCCAGGAGTCTAGCTTCTGTGGGACTCCCACCTACTAACCCTTTAACTCTTCTGCACTTGCCTTGACTTGAGTAGGGGGAGAGGGTTTTGGGGGAAGGGGCCAGAGACCCTATTTCCTTTTCTCCCACCTTCAGGTCTCAAGAGACTCTGGGCAGCCGGCCTGCTCCCCTACCGCTGACTGAATCATTTCTATATTTGGCCAGTGAGCCACGTGGGTGGGGGAACCACTGCGGCTGCACTTCTGACAGCTGTGGGGGGCGGGGGCAGGGGCTGCAGGCGGCAGAGGCTGGGCAGTAGGCATGTGCATTCTTTGGGAGAACTAAGGCGCCATCAGAGTGAGTAAAGCCCTGAGAAAGGGCATGCGCCAACACCTCCCTCTCCTCCCTCTCCTCCTGCATATTCTGGTTTCAGGGTCGGCCTCCTCTGCCCCACCCCCTCCCCTGGATGCCCTTCTCCCTTCAGCTAGTCCTCACAGCAGTCTCTTCTCCCACAGACCACACCGCCCTCCAGAAACGATGGGTGTCTCTAGACCCAGCTGCGACTCTGCCAGACTCCGGTGCTCAGTTTAAGATAAGGATAATCTCCCAGGCCTGCTCTCCCTGCCTGTCATGGCCACACTCCGATGCTGCCCACTTGTCTGGGGACACAGGGCACCCAGCCCTAGCCCTGAGATGTTAAGCCAGGCCTTCTGGCTCCAGTCTACAGGGGCACTGCAGGCCCCGGGCTCCCTTCAGAGCAAGAGCAACTGATGCCATGGGAGAAGCCCCTGCCTACCCATCCACTTGCCTGGCCCTGCCTGCTCTGATACCCATGCATTGGGTCCTCCTGCAGGTGCCAATCCTGTGAGTCCCTCCCCAACCCCCTGACGCTGAGAAGGCCCTGCCCACCCCCACCATGTGTGAGGTGATGCCCACAATCAATGAGGGGGACCCCCTAGGGCCCCCCCACGGCGCCGATGCTGACGCCAACTTTGAGCAGCTTATGGTGAACATGCTGGATGAGCGGGAGAAGTTGCTGGAGTCCCTCCGGGAGAGTCAGGAAACCTTGGCAGCCACGCAGAGCCGGCTCCAGGATGCCCTGCATGAGCGGGACCAGCTCCAGCGACACCTTAACTCTGCCCTCCCTCAGGTAAGGCCTAAAGCTCTGCGCCTCCCTCAGTCCCTCCCTCTGCCCCTCCTCCAGCCCTGTGGAGTCCAGCACCCCTTGGGCCCTCAGCAAAACTGTATCTACCTGCATATCAAATAGTGGAATTTACAGAACATTTACTCTCCATCTTGCTACGTAAATCCTTTCCCTGTCACTCCCAAGTGTCTCAGCCTGGAATTGGCTTTACCTGGAGAAATGGGTGGAATTTGATTCAGGGAGAAAACCCAGCCCTAGTTGCCAACTGCAATGAGCCCAGTCTGCCAGTAGATGGCACCCTAGGCTGGAAAGAAAGAGCCCTGACTGCTTCTCACCAGAGGCCTATTCTTGGAGGTGGAGGGAGAGGGGGAGGGGGGAATCACAGAAGTGGAGGTGGGAGCAGCTTTAGAGCTCATCTTAGTCCAGCTCCACTATTGCACAGACATTACATGGGCAATTATAGACAGAGCTGAGTATCTTAACATCCCGTTTCATGTACCTCACCAGCATTGCTACTAGCTCTAATGTAGTCACCCTTTACAGTGTATTTTCTAAGGACTGAGCCTTCTGTAGGGTTTATCTCACTAGATTTTCAGAATGATGAAGTTGGTACTGTTATTACCAGCATCCTACTTCACAAGTGATGGTGATGGAGTTTAGGAAAATGAACCCCCTGCTCATGGCCATGCAGGAATTGACCCCTGAAAAGCTGTGTGCTTCCAGGGGCTGTGTCTCAGCCACCACCACATTTCCACATCAGATCATTGACCCAGAAGCTCTGTGTTGCTTCCTGCTCATCCATCATTTCGTAGGTATTCAAGGACAAATGCGTGCTGTGGGAATGGCAAAGGGAGCAGGAACTGAGTTATCCTGCTGCTTGTCAGAGAAGGCGTGAACCCTCCTGGTAACCAGGCCCCAGGTGGGGTGGGGCAAGCACAGTGCTCACAGTGACTGCTTACACGTCCTGCTCTCCACCTCCTCTTAGGAGGCAGATGGGTATGGAAACCAGGCACTAGATTCATTGCATAGCTCGCCTGGGGCAGGTGCGTGCCCTGCAGGGGCTGAGGGAGGCAGCCTGAGTTGCCTAACACCTCAAGCCTCAGAGCCAGGCCCTTTTCCCAGTGCAGGGAGAGGAACCAGGACTGGGCCTGGGTGGGTGAGTTTTCGGTTCAGGGCTCAAAAGTGACAGGAGGCCGAGTCTTGGATGCTTTCTCAGTATGAATATTTAGCCCTGGTGAAGAGGTGGGATGGGCAGGTGGCCCCTCCTACCTCACTTTGCAGGAGGCCCTGAGCATGCCCTGAAGTGAATGAGCCAGTTCCTGCTCCCAAGGAGCTCAGAGATGAGAAAGGAGACATAAGAGCCCAAAAGACTAGGAGAGAAGGTAGAGAAAGGTAAGAGAGGCCTGAAGGGATTGTTAAACACAACATCAGTGATAAAAATAGCTGCCTTTGTGGGCTTGTGCTAGGTACTCTCTGTACATTGGGTTCATTTAATCCTCCTATGTAATTCCTGGAGAGACTGTTTACCTCTGTCTTACAGATCAGAGAATGGGTTCAGAGAGGTTAGGTAATTTGTCCAAGGTCACATAGCTAACCAGAGCAGAGCTGAGATTTGACCCCAGGCCTGTCTGACTTCCTCTACTGGAAACTTCATGAGGGTAGAGGTTGTATCTTTATTGTCACTGTGTCCCCTGTGACCGGCACAGGACCTGGTATTCACATATATTTGTGGTTGGATGGTAGACTCCCCAGTGCTCTTGATGTTTGTTCAGAAATGTTTTCAAGGGATAGAGGGAGACTTCCACTGGACAGCCTAGACGGTTCCCAGGTGGCTGGAGCCTTTGAGATGGGCTTTTTTGAAAGAGGAATTTTCTCATCAGGTGGTGACAGAGGCTTGTGCTCTGCAGTGAGAGGGGGACTGCTGAGCTAAGGTTGGCATTAGAAAGGCTTGCTGGGGTTTGGAAACAGCAAGTAACCCAGGTTGACTGGGTCTTAGGGTGGATGCAAAGGAACCGTGAGAGAAAAGTTTGAAAACCACTGTAAGCTTGCGTTTAACTTTGTGGACAGCATTGTGCTTTGGGAAATAATCCTGGCAGCAGTCTGTCAGATGGGTCAGTTGAGGAGGGAGAGGAAAGACGTCCTAGGATGGGGACACCAGGTAGTGATAAGCCTAAGGCCAGGGAAGGGAGAGCTTCACAGCCCTTTGGTGATGGTGTCATAGTATAGGGCTGGGGGCATGCCATTAAGTCCTGTCTCTGTGTCCAAGACTGTGTGTATGTGCATATGTGTGTGAGTGTGTGTGTGTGTGCATGAAGGTATGACCGTGTGCATGCATGTGTGTAAACTGAGGGGTGAAACAGCATCAGGCTCAGGCCTCAACGGCCAGAGGGTGGAATGCTTGACCTTGATTGTCTTTGGCCATATCCTTGATAGAAAAGCAATAGTCAAGGAATAGAGTCAGAAGTCCTTGATTTCTTGTGCTCTGGAAGGGATAGTCCCTTCTTCTTTCCTACAACCTTTTTGCCTGATCTGGAGTGATAGTGGGACTGCTTTGGGAATTCTTCATTGATCGGGAATTCTTGGTGTGCAAGGGAAGCTGCAATGCTGGACAGGGCTGAAGCTTCTGTTCAGTTATTCTCAGACTTTGGAAGCCATAGAGTTTGGGCCATTCATCTGAGAATCTTTCTGGAATGAGGTGATGTTGATTAAATAGATAGGATATGATGGACCTGGAGCTGTGGGGCTGTTCTCTCACCTTAGATGCTCGTGCTGGTGGCAGAGGTGAGCTGGAAAGGTCATTGAAGTGTCTGGGCTTGACATTTGTGGATGGGTCCCCCTCAAAGGGATATTTGGTACATGGGAATTCAGTGAAGCCAGGGCATGGGTCTTAGTATCAGGTGCTGGCATGAAATCCTGACCTGATTTGGCAGGGCTCCTGGGAAGCCAGGGCTGAAGCCGCATGGCCAGCTGTTTGGGCAAGTCCAAGTACCCTCCTGCTCCCATGTAGGTGGTTCCTTCAATCCACTTGTCTCACAGGCCACCGACAGCTTGCAAAGCCCTGGGGAGGATATGGAAGAGAGCTCCCTGGGACTCAGTCAGACTTAAGCTTCAGAACACGTTTCTCTTCCCCCGTAACATCCATCAGCTTCTGGTGAACCTCACTTGCCCAAACCAGTGGCAGCCTACCTCTCCATCAGTGTGTAAACGAAAAGGCCATTGAATTGCTGGAGAACCAGAAGGCTGAGTAGGAGGGTCAGCAGAATCTGGTCACATTGACTGGCAGGGGAAGGGGCTTCAGAGTAGACTTGGTGGATTTCCCATTTCTATGTGCAGCTATTTCCTCAGCTCCTAACACACACCTGGATTGCATGGAGCCCTCTTGGGGAGCTCACACCAGTTGTGGGGTTACTGCCCTGAAATGTGGGTGGATCGGGACTTTCTGGGGGGTAGGTGGAGGAAGGGATGGGTGAGAGGAGACCCCCATGGATCAGGTGTGAGGATGCTGCTTAGGGGGTGAATCCCATGTACTAAGGAGTCTTGGGGGTCTTCAGGAATTTGCCACCTTGACCCGGGAGCTGAGCATGTGTCGGGAGCAGCTTCTAGAGAGGGAGGAAGAGATATCAGAGCTGAAAGCAGAACGGAATAACACAAGGGTAAGTGGAGATCACCGGGTGTGTGTGTGTGTGTGTGTGTGTGTGTGTATCTTGACCAAGGCAGGACCAGGGCCAGGTATAGCCCCACCCCATCCTGACCTTTGCCTGCTTCTCGTCCTAGGGTCATAGCCAGAAAATTTAACCATCAGTACTAGGCTTTCCCCCTGCCGTTGCTGGGTCATAGAAACTCAGGGTCCTGGGGGAGAGGCCAGGACAATCGAGTTAAGGCCAGTATTTAATTGAAGAGCAGCTATTTACCAAAGTGGAAGAATGTTAGCATTTTAAGGATGGTATGGCTGTATTTGTGTCTACTTGGTGATCACGTGGGCCCTGCTTGTGGTCCCTGGAGCACATGCTCAGAGTCTTCCCTCCTGTCTTCCCCTGCTTCCTGCCAGCTGCTTTTAGAACATCTGGAGTGCCTGGTGTCCCGCCATGAGCGGTCACTGCGGATGACGGTGGTGAAGCGCCAGGCCCAGTCACCTTCAGGGGTCTCCAGTGAGGTGGAGGTGCTAAAGGCCCTCAAGTCTCTGTTTGAGCACCACAAAGCCCTGGATGAGAAGGTATCCCTGCCCCTACTCTCTCCCCAATCCAACCAAGCTTCCCTTCTCTGAGATTTCTGCATTCAGTGTTTAGGGAAATCTAGCTTCATAACTGGCTTCCTCCTACTGTGGGCCTCATTTCAAGTCCTATTAGGTTCCCTCCTAGGGTTTTACCTCCTGTTGGGCCCTTTACTTTCCCTCATGCCTGGCGCTGGTAGACCAAGGCCAAGCTTCTTCAGCCTGGGTCCAGTGAGTCCCCCTTTCTTCCTCTTGTCTTGGGCAGGTTCGAGAAAGGCTCCGGGCGGCACTGGAGCGCGTTACCACCTTGGAGGAGCAACTGGCAGGAGCCCACCAGCAGGTAAGCTGCCCACCTTCAGTTTATAGTTGGCAGCTCCCGGAAGTCCAGCTGGCTGGCCCCTTAGCCCCACCCTGTTCCTCATGGGATTCTTCCTCACTGTGGCTGGAGTCAGTAGCCAAGGCTGGGCCAGGCACTCCTTTCCAGAAAGTGGAAACTTAGAAGGGTCTGGAACGTGTAGGAAGCACTCTTTGACACACTGCCCTGGGCCTGTGCCCTATAGGTGTCTGCCCTGCAGCAGGGGGCAGTGGTGCGGGATGGAGTGGCAGAAGAGGAGGGGACTGTGGAGCTGGGACCGAAACGTCTGTGGAAGGTGGGTAATGGGGAGCAGTATAGCGGGGCCTGTGTTCCCCAAGAAAGGAATGGGAGGCCCTGCCCGCTGACTTCAGTAGAGAAGCTGCTAAAATTAAATGCAGAGCTTTCTATAACATTCTCACTTCCTTCCTCCATCTTCAAAGAAATCTATCATCTTTCTATTTCTCTATCTGTCTATTGGTGCCAGGTACATAATATGTTTGTCTACTGGAATTGTTAGGAGCCATCTGCCTGTATCAGTATCAGGCAAGATGCCTTCTATCTCTGAGCCTTTGTTCCTTAATTATGCTCCTTTCTGGGTTGAAGAGGCTGAGATAACAGATAAAACTAAAAACTGTTGTTTTTCAAGAGATACACAGCAGAGCCAGGGTATTTGGGTATTGTCAGGAGTGAGCTGCTGGGGCCCAGGGAAAAAAGGTGTACCTGGAGGTGTGCTCTGAGGTCAGGGCAGAGCTGTGGTCTGTCGTGGGTGTGTGGCCCCTCCTACCATTTCCCTGGGGCAGGGCAGGGTGTAGGATGCCCTAGGCCTCCATGATTGACTGACTGATGGCTCACTGTCCCTGGAGGATGACACGGGCCGGGTGGAGGAGCTGCAGGAGCTCCTGGAGAAGCAAAACTTTGAGTTGAGCCAGGCCCGGGAGCGACTGGTCACCTTGACAGCAACCGTAACAGAACTTGAGGAGGACCTGGGAACAGCCCGCCGGGACCTCATCAAGTCAGAGGAGCTGAGCAGCAAGCATCAACGGGACCTCCGAGAGGTGAGAAAGGGTCTTTCTTCAGTCACTTCATCCCACTGAGTACAGGTGTTTGGCATCTGGGAGAGTGTGGACCAAGGTCCAGGCAGGAGCAGGGAAGTATAAGATTGAACACTTGGCAGGGTCTGGTGTGGGGAGGAGTAATGGGGGTTTTGGTTATGGCCAGGAGTTGACAGGGGAGATCATGTTTTCTGGGTTATACACAGCCAGGTATTGTGGGAGGTGCAGAAAGGAGCAGGGCAGCAAAAGTCTGGTGACCTTTCCTCTCGTCCCCTCTGCTGCCACCCAGGCTCTGGCTCAGAAAGAGGACATGGAAGAACGAATCACCACACTGGAGAAGCGCTACCTAGCTGCTCAGCGTGAGGCCACATCCATCCATGACCTCAATGACAAACTGGAGAATGAACTGGCCAACAAGGAGTCCCTGCACCGCCAGGTAACTCCTCCAGATGGGGCAGAGTGGGCATTGTACTTCACCCTTGAGGTTCTAATGATCCTGCTCAAACTATCCCATGGTGGCCCAGGAGCTCCTGGGATCCTGAAGATTCTCTTGGGAAAGGGGAAGTCAGGCATCTTGGGCAGTCAGGAACCAAAGTGGTCCCTTGCAACTTCTGATCTGTTACTTGCTCTCTGCTGTGATGGGGTCAGGTGGGGGTGTTCAGTGCTACCCCTCTTGATTCGCTTCCCTGTCCACATTGCTAGTGTGAGGAGAAGGCCCGACACCTACAGGAGCTGTTGGAGGTGGCAGAGCAGAAACTGCAGCAGACAATGCGCAAGGCAGAGACGCTGCCAGAGGTGGAGGCTGAGCTGGCCCAGAGAATCGCAGCTCTCACCAAGGCAAGTGGGCTGGGCCTGGGATCTGCCTCTGTCCCCTATGTCCAGTGGAGCCAGCTGTTGTGGAACCAGGCAGGGAGTGGACAGAGTGGAGGGCACATGGGGCAGGGAGCCAGAGAACTGCTCACTGTGTGATGCTGGGAGTATACTACCTCATGTCTGTCAGTCTGAAGAGGAATTCCTGCCCTCTTCACCCCACAGAGATGTAATGGTCCCATAAGAAAGGGTAAAAATACTTGAAAGAGAAGAAACCACACTGCTTCAAAGTATATTTATTATCATGACACCATTGTGGTTGATACCTCTGTTTGTTTAGGAATAGAGAGGGAAGATTAGGATTTTCATCTCTGGAAAAATGAAACTAAGGGGAGATATGATCAAAGTCTGTATATCCCTGAAGGGGATGCAGGGTTGCACACATCTTTCTTTACCAAATTGAAGCATTCTAGATCTAGAAACAACTCCGTTAGCCTAAAGCTTTAAGATGAATAAAAGACAATATAATTTACCTAGTGGAGAGGTAATTTAATTCCTAAGAGGTATATAGGCAGATATCAACTAGGTCTGGAAGAGCTAAATAAATGCATGGCCTTAGATGTCTGAGAGTAATTACATATTAGGAGTCTTTTTAGCTGGTTGGAGGCTTTTGGGGGCCTCATGGGGTATAACCATAGCTACCCCCAAACTCAGGGATAGAAGAAACCAGTTTTTAGCAAGCACCCACCCCAGAACCTTTGAAGGATAAGATGCTGGCCAGTGTGCCAGTATGGCATCTCAGGTGCTCTGGAGCTGGAACTCACAGCATCAGTAGGCCCAGGGCCAAGTCTGCTTCTGCCACTGACTGGCTTTCTGATTTGGGAAAAGTCACACCCCTCCATAACTGGGCCTCGGTGTTCTTACCTCTATGGTGGTGCTGTTGGCCTTGGTGATCTGTAGAGTCTTTCCAGCCCCTGGGAATGGAGGGTTAGGTTTAAGTTACAGCAGAGGATATTATGTGTGGGATGCTGAGCAAAAACTGACAAGAAGGGATGGGCTGAAGTGATTAATATGTTCAAGTGAGTCATAGCAGGAGGAGTTAAAGGAAGGCTTTCCTGACTGTAAGATGTGTGGTATTCTGGAAAATCTTGTCAGCAGAAACAATAGGGTCTCCATCTCTGGAGATACTTGACAGGAAGGGAGAACACTCTACCTGGGCTGGTTTAATAATAAAGGTAATAATCATGATGAGGCTAGTATGTTCTAAATGTTTACTAGAGCATTTCATTTAGCCCTTGAAATGGGCCAGTGGGCATAGGTGCTGCTAGTCAAATTTTACAGTTGAGAAAACCAGGCACTTAGAAAGTTCAAGGTCACATTATTGGTGAAAGATTTGAACCCAGGCTGCCTGACCTGAGCCTGTGTTCTCAAGTACAATTCCAATCTCTCTGGAAGCACATAGATGTATGGTAGCTCATGCTTTCAAATGGAGTTTTTTGTTTTTGTTTTTTTCTGGAAACATGGGGAGGATTTACCAGCTTTGAGCCAGGGACCTTCGCCTAGTCAGCTCCCCAGCTCTGGCTAAGGCCAGAGCCTTCCCCGCCCAGCTAGGACCAACCCTCCAGGCCTGCTTTCCCTGAACACCTTTCCAGCCTTCCCTCCTAGCTTCCCCCAGCTTCTGTCAAGGTAGCACTCAAGCGTCCCAGCCCCGCCCCTGACTAGCTCCTCACATCCCAAAGCCCCGCCCTCCAGGCCGGCCCCGCCCCTGCTCTCCACTCAACACGACCCTTGAATTGCCAGCTCTGAGCAGGAACCCAGGAAGGACCTGGCAGGGGTCGAGTTTCTGGGGGAAGAAAGGTAGTGCTGATGGTGATTTGCACCAACTTGATAGGTGGAGGGCTGGGTTTCCTTGGCACCTGAGGCCCTGATCACTCAAGACTGCCCTAGCACCAGGATCCACAGGATATGGGGCCTGAGCAGGAGGAACAGAGATCTCCAGGATGCACTGACCTATCCCCGCCCCTAGGCTGAAGAACGGCACGGCAACATTGAGGAGCACCTGCGGCAGCTGGAAGGGCAGCTGGAGGAGAAGAACCAGGAGTTGGCAAGGGTGAGGGCACGAGGCTGGGCTCTTGGGTGACCTCCCTGCCCTCGGGGCAGGCTCTTAGGTACTGTTAGCGGAGGGGCACCGGGGAAGGACCTGGCCAAGGGAGAGAGCCCACAGGGTGAGAGGAGCCCACAGCTAGGGGAGGAGGTGGTTGAGAGAGCTGGAGAGAGGGTCCCTGGGAGGATAGAAGACTGGGGACAAGAAGGGGACTGGTGAAGCAGGCAGGTAGAACCCCAGTGGAAATGGGTGGTTCTCGAGGAGGGCGTCGTCGACCAGGCCCTGAGGTGGCCTTGTGCAAGGCGGCCCGGCTGTGCAGGTGCGCCAGCGGGAGAAGATGAACGAGGACCACAACAAGCGGCTGTCAGACACCGTGGACAGGCTGCTTAGCGAGTCCAACGAGCGCCTGCAGCTCCATCTCAAGGAGCGCATGGCCGCCCTGGAGGAGAAGGTGCAGGGGCTAGGGGGCGGGGTGGGGCGGGGCTACTCGAGGGGCGTATTGAGTCGAGAGCAGGGGCGGGGCCGGCCTGGGGGGCGGGGCTTTGGGATGTGAGGAGCTAGTCGGGGGCGGGGCTGGGACGGGTGAGTGCTACCTTGACAGAAGCTGGCGAAGCTAGAAGCTTTTCCCGCTGGGGAGGGCGGGCTGGGTAGGTGTGCTGGGAAAGCAGGCCTGGAGGGTTGGTCCGAGCTGGCCGGGGAAGGCTCTGGCCTTAGCCGGAGCAAGGGAGCTGGCTAGGCGAAGGTCCCTGGCTCACAGCTGTTTTCCCCTAGAACACGCTGATCCAGGAGTTGGAGAGCTCCCAGCGTCAGATTGAGGAGCAGCATCACCACAAGGTACCCAGCTGCGGGGCCAGCCCAGCCAGCCTGGAGGGCCCGGGTCGCTGGGAGGAAAGGACATGCCTGTTTTTCATGCAGCTGCTCTGATAACCCAGTATTGTGTTAGCTTCTGTTAGTTCATGTGCATTACATTGTATCATCACTCTTCACCACCGCCCAACCCAGTAGGTACACCACTACCCACAGTAAAAGAGAAACAGGCCATAAGCCTAGGGGATAGGATGGACAGCAGATTCAGGGCCCAGTGAATGGCTTAACCAAAAGATTGGGTGGGGGCCTCAAACCCTGGTGAGGTAAGAGTCAGGTGACTCTGGGAAGATTGGCTATTGTCCCTGCCTCAGCTATGTGTGGAAGGACACGTGGGTTCTTTGCTGCTCTGCCTGGTTTGCCACACTTTTGTGTGGTGTTAAGAGGTCAGCTGGCTTATTCCAGGAGAGCCCTTCCCTAGACAACCCTTCCCTGCCTGGCCCCTCTGCCACCTTCTGTTCACTTTCCAGTTGTTCCTCTTCTCTTGGCCCCTGGCCTGGGGCCCCTGACTTTGAACTTTGCAGAGTATTCTTCTGCTTTCCCCAAACTCTGCTGTCCTTTTTGTCCCTCTCTGACTCCCATTCTCCCTCTCTGCCCCTCCCTGGCCCCCACCCCACCCTGGGTCTGCCTGGCACAGGGCCGCCTGTCTGAAGAGATTGAGAAGCTGCGCCAAGAGGTGGACCAGCTGAAGGGTCGAGGGGGGCCATTTATGGATGGCATCCACTCCAGGTACTGGAGCGTGGGATGTGGGGCGTGCTGGGATGGGGTCCTGCTTGGACCCTGGGGAAGGAGACCTTCCCCCCATCAAAAGACCACCCAGGACCTCAGGGTCCTCCTCATATTCAGGGTGGGACACTGAAGCTCAGAGAAGTTGGTTAGAGTCAATTTATCACTTGGGCATTTAGAAGGGGAGCACTTGTCCTCTGAGGGGTGCAGAACAAGGATCAGATGATACTCCTTTCCTACTGTCTTGGAACATGGGTCACAGGACACTTCCTACGTCCTCAACAGAGTATGCCTTGGAAGGTGTCTGCCTGAGTTCTGTGCTCTCCCATGTTGCACAAGGTCCTCTGGTAGAGAGTGCCACTCTAGTTCTTTTGAGACACCACCTTTAGGATTGCTGTTTGAGAGTTGAGAATCACCTGAGTTCAGGTAGGAGGCAGTGAGCAGAAAGGCATTTGAGAGAATGGAAGTGAGGCAACAAAAACACCCTTCCTGTTGAAAGCTGAGGTTCCCTGTTACTCATGGTTGTGGCATGTAAGAGGTGGAGGTGGAGCTTTTGCCTCTGGATTTTTCTCCACATTTTGTGAAGCACTTGGCATTGAACTCAGACCACAAACATGTCCTCAATTCTCAGCCCAGAGAAGATCGAGGAGAGTAAAGTAAAAGAGGGCTCTCAAGGTCCATGGCTCCCTTCTGTCCATGTTCTTGTCATATCAGAGATCAGCTACTATGAGGAAGTGTTACGGGGTATATATGTACGTTGGGGGGCAGTGCTTGAATTAGGGAAGAATGTTGAGCTTGAGAGAAGAGGCCTGTGGGAACCCCAGGGTGGTGGATACTCAAGTAGCAACTTCAAGTTCATTGGGAATTACTGTATGAAGAGAAGCAAGGAACCAAGAAATATAATGGTAGCTGAGATTCTCCCTGTGGATTGGCTAAAAGGAACAGCCCTTCAATTAATAAGATTTGGCCCCAGCATACACCAAGCCATTTGCCACTGCTACTTTTCCTTCCTAGCTGGGGGTTTTTGGCTTTGACTTAGAATATCTGGACCTATCACAGAATTGGGGCTGAGTTGCTGAGAGAAGAGGGAGCTAGGCTGCTCCCCTCTCAATTCAGCTATACAATCTCCTGGCCCCTTTGCATTGCTTTCTCTCAAGGGTCCCAAGCTGGGAGGTATTGGGAAGAGGCATCACAGGGAGGCTTCTTGACACTCCTGAGATTGTCACTGGGACCCTAAAATCTCAGGTTTGGCTAGACCTTTGGAGTAGTTAAAGTGGCCACCCAAAGCTTCCTAGGGATAGGGTCGGGGTGTGACTGTTAAATTTTAGCCAGGGACTCAGTCCAGATTATTGGGAAGCCTGAGAAAAGTTGCTAGGGAAAAGACCACAAAACAAAGACCATCAGAGTTAAAAGACATCAGAGATCACCTTCCCAGGGCCCAGTGCCCCAAGCCTTGTACTGTTCTTAACAGAAAGCCAGAGAACCCACACTTGAAAACCTCTCTGATGGGGAGCTCGACTTTTTAAAAGCATTGTAAGCCAACTCTTGCCATAAGAAGGTTTTTCTTAGGCTAAATGGAAAGCCACTCTCTAGAATTTTCTTCCCTGGGTCATCCTGACCCCTGGAGCACCAGAGAATAATTCTCATCTTGGGCTCATATGGTAGCCCTTCAGACATTTCTGATAACTGTGTGTCCTGTTAAGACTTCTCCAAGGTGAAGATCCCTGACTCTTTGAGCACAGTGTGTGCAGGCTGGGGCTCTCAGTCCTCAGGACCTGTCATTTCTCTCCTTTCTACCACTCAAGGTCACACATGGGCAGCGCAGCGGATGTGCGGTTCTCCCTGAGTACAACCACCCACGCGCCCCCAGGTGTGCATCGCCGCTACTCAGCACTGAGGGAAGATTCAGCTAAGGTGAGGGGGTGGCAGGGTGAGTGTGTGTGTGGGTCTTCCTGGGGAGTTTGGGGTCAGTTCGGCCGTGTGCCTGGCTCCAGTTACACGGACGGCTGGCGTGTGGTGCAAATCCTCTCCCCTGCCCTCCCCCATTTCAATGACAGCTGCAGCCCCAGGGTTGGGGCCATTGTCAGCTGCAACAGCTGTGACCCCCCTTGCCTCGGCCTCCTGGTGGGCAAGAGGTAGGGGCTGGAAGGCGGCCAGCCAGTCCCTGAGGCCCCACTGAGGCATGTGTGCGTGTGCCTGGGTGTGCAGGCGTGTGTTTCTGGTGGCCGGTGCGGGGGGGGGGGGGGGGGGGGGGGGGGGGGGGGGAATTGGCTGGCTTCCTGAGACAAAAGCTGTGGTTGCAGGGGAGATGAGGGAGGGATGATAGGTCTCCTGGCTCTGGGCTTGGCACCTGGAGCTTTCTGAGAAGCAGCTATGGGTTCTTGCTGTCTGAGTTGGCCTGGGGAGAAGGAGGGGAATGAGGAAAGAGGAGGGGAAGGAGGGCTGCGTTCCTTCTTTCAGGGAAGTCTGATTACTGCCTGGTCCTCAGTTGTCAGTCATATTCTCTTGTGAGTCCAGGTCCCCCGATCTCTGGGGCCTTAGAAGTTATAGATGGAGGAAGAGGGAACTCCTGGTCTGTGGAGAGGGCCTGTCCCTGCCCTTAGGGCCCTAGTCTGATGGCAGTGTGAGGGCACCTCTGTATCTCACCCCTTTACTCTTCTAAGAACACTGCAGCTGCCCAGGGGCTCAGGATGAAGGCAGCAGGGGCTTGAACAAGAGTCCTCAGGGGTAGTTTGGGGACTTGGGTCCTAGAGACTATGTGTTAGAGCTCCTCTGGCACCCCTCCTTGTCTCCCCGACTTTTCTGGCTCTCCCAGTCCACTCCTGTGCTCTCCTCCTCTTCTGGGCCTTTGTCTGTTGAAGAGGTTTGTAGATGATTTTTGAAAAGCCATCACCTCTGAAGGTTGTTCAGAGGGTCCTGTGATATGCTAAAATTACAAGAACACAAGACCTTGTCTTAATCCCTGAAATAGTCACCATTTGCAAGTTTGTATGAATAGAAACTAGTAACCTTTATATAGTGCCTATTTTGTACCAGACCCGATTTTCTCATTTTAAGCCTCACGACTACCTATGAGTTAGGTCCTGTTACTGTCCTGTTTTATAAATGAAAATCCATTGGGGAACAGAATCAATAAGGCATCATCTAAAGGCAGAGAGAGATTACACAACTTTCCCATGGTTGCACAGCTAATATTTGGTGGAGTCAAGATTCTAAGCAAGAGCTGGGCACAGTGGCGCAAGCCAACGACTCAGGAGGCAGAGGCAGGAGGATCATGAGTTCAAAGCCCACCTCAACAACTCCAAGGTGCTCAGAAACTCAGTGAGACCCTGTCTCTAAATAAAATATAAAAAATAGGGCTGGGGATGTGGCTCAGTTGTTGAGTGCCCCTGAGTTCAATCCCCAGTACGCCCCCCTCCAAAAAAAAAAAAAAAGATTCAAAGCAAGGCCATTTTTTTGGGATTCATCTCTAAATCACTTTGTTAGCTAGCTCCTTGAGTTGGAGCAGAATCTCCTAGACTTTCATATGCAAACAAATAATCTGGGAATCTTGTTAAAATGCAGATTTTGAATCAGTAAGTCTGGCAATGGGGCCTGAGATTCTGCATTTCTAACAAGCTCCCAGGAGAGGTCAGTGCTGCCCAGTGGCAGTGGGGAGGGTCCTGCTCCTCAGCCCTCTGGGGTGCCATAACTACTTCTTTATCTTTTTCCTTTGCAAAGGACTGGGAGCCATCTCCACTGCCTGGATTGTTGGCCTCCACAGCCACTCCTGCTTTTGACAGTGACCCTGAGATCTCTGATGTGGATGAAGATGAGCCAGGGGGTTTAGTGGGCTCCGTTGATGTTGTCTCCCCTGGCGGCCATTCAGATGCCCAGACCCTGGCCATGATGCTGCAGGAGCAGCTGGATGCCATCAACGAGGAGATCAGGTTGGGGCAGGGGCGGAGGGCCTGGGAAGTGCCTTGAAGGACAGAGGGCCCATTTCTTAGTATTTGGCAATGCCAGAAAAAGTTCACGTCTTACAACTGCACCTTAGTACCACAGTCTAGGGACCTTCTGTGAGACATCAGATAAGGTTCTAGTCCAGTATTTCCCCCAAAGGGAAGCTGATTCTCAGGCTTCATCCAATGATGTGACTGGGTGTGGGAGCATGGAGCTGTAGTCCTGGTATTCTTCCTGATCTCTAAGAGTGTAGCTTCCACGGCTGAAGCCATCTCAGGGTGACAGCTTTGTGAATGTTACTGTCAGTCTTACTCTAGTAAGTCCTACCCTGAGGTAGGTAGCATGATCTCTGTTTTATAGATAAGGGAACAGAAATTCAGAGGTTACGTGACTTTCCCAAAGCCATGTAGTAAGTGGCAGAACCAAGAATTCAAACTGAAGTTGAAACTCAGTCCACTGGGCCTTGCCTTCTGTCCCTAGGAGGCATCACACAGGATCCAGTAGCAGGGAAAGTTGTCAAGACAGACCTTCCCTTGATCCTGCTTTTTAGTGAGTTTATTAATCTTAAGATAAACAGCCAGGAAAAATCTGAGCTGAGCGTGCAGCTCTCCAGGCTGCTGAGGTCATGTAGTTCAGTGGCTCCCAGCCTTGGATTTCACAGTTACAAAGAAGATACCGGCCCCTCCTGCTACAGCAATAGGGAATTGCCATCATTTTGCTTTGCAAAGTAAATCATTAAAGAAAGATAACCACCATTGACCATCAAAGCCATTCTGAAAAAACAAAAGGACATTTTAACATCTAGAGTGGGAAAGATGTACTTTCAGAATAAAGATACATCCTTCTCCTTAAAGGACAGTTGGCACCTCTACTCCAGTGGGTGTGTGCACATGTTCCTTACTGAGAGTATCTTCCATGTACACAAATGAACCATTATCATTATTTTTCTATGGAACAGGGAAAATCCATTGGGGAACAGAATCAATAAGGCATCATCTAAAAGTCCTGCATCTGGGAACTACTGAGACCCACTCCAGACATTGTATATGTTGGGAAACTGAGGCATTTAGAACGAAGAGTCTGACCTGAGGTCACCTCTGTTGTTAGTAGTAGGTTAAGAATTTGGACTTTGCTGGGTGCAGTGATGCATGTCTGTAAATCCCAGTGGCTTGGGAAGCTGAGACAGGAGGATCGCAAGTTCAAAGCCAGCTTCAGTCACTTAGCAAGCTCTAGGTTGTTTAGCAAGACCCTGTCTCAAAACAAAAAATAAAAAGGTTTGGGGATGTCAGTGGTTAAGCACCCCTAGGTTCAATACCCAGAACAAACAAACAAACAAAAAAAAAATAGATGGACTTTGTGTTTCATGGACTAAATTGCCTCCCTCCTCTGCAACTACTTTTGTTAAACTGAGGACACAGGCCAACTAACAAGAGAGGGAAATGTTTCTGAGCTCCAGACCTTGTATAATCCGAACAATGCCAGAAACAACAGGGCACCCTTAGGCATTGCTGTGTTGTTTGGGCCTGGGGTGGTGAGTGTGGGCAGCGTCTGGCACCACCTCCTGCTGCTTATCACTGGGGCTCTTGGCCAGGTCCCCTTTTGTCTGCCTTCCAGGATGATCCAGGAAGAGAAGGAGTCCACGGAGCTTCGCGCCGAGGAGATCGAGACGCGTGTGACCAGCGGCAGTATGGAGGCCTTAAACTTGACACAGCTGCGCAAGCGTGGTTCTATCCCCACCTCTCTGACTGCCTTGTCCCTGGCCAGTGCATCCCCTCCACTCAGTGGCCGCTCCACTCCAAAGCTCACCTCCCGCAGCGCTGCCCAGGATCTGGACCGGATGGGGGTCATGACCCTGGTGAGTCTTTGGGCAGACAATAAACAACTCTTCCCTCCCGTGGCTCTCCCTTGGGAGAGTTTATAAGGAAGGACAAGCTACTTCCTGGTTATGGGCACGGCATCTTCTTCCCATGGTGTGTGCATGCCCTGTGTGATAGGCCACCAACATGTCCTTCTGGGTTAGGGAAGGGCTTTTGTAATATTTTTCTTACCCTCTCCCTTGGATAAGCACAGAATGCTTAAGAATCTCACCAGCTGTCCACACTGCTTCTCTCTTCCAGGGATGGTCTTGACTTTTTTGGGTACCAGGGATTGAACCCAGGGGTGCTTAACCACTAAGCCACATCCCCAGTCCTTTTTATTTTTTATTTAGAGACAAGGACTTGCCGAGTTGCTTAGGGCCTCGCAAAGTGGCTGAGGCTGGCTTTGAACTCGTGATCTTCCTGCCTCAGCCTCCTGAGCTCCTGGGATTATAGGGGTGTGCCACCGCGCCCAGCTTAACTTCTTTTTCCAGGCCAGCTTTTTCTGCTGTGCTATTATATCCAGGCCTGTGTGAGGCACTGAGTCCTGTGTTCTCATCCTAGGACCCTTGGGTGCCCCTTGGGTGGGCTTTAGGGCAGCCAGGGTGAGCCCAAGCTTACCTTCACTTTTTCTTCCAGCCCAGTGACTTAAGAAAGCATCGGAGGAAGCTGCTGGTGAGTGCTGCCCAATGACCCAGGTACTACTGGGTTAACTGGTCCCAGGCCCTTCCCTTTTGGCTTCTCCCCCAGGGCCCTGGGGTCTGAATTTGAACTTGAGGGGCTGCAGGGCCCCCCTACTGCGTTTTTCCTCAGTTTCTCTGCCTCTCGGTTTCTCTGTGCTCCTCTGCCTCGTCCGGGCTGGGTAGGCAGGCCCCAGATCTCTCCCCCTATCCCCTGACGGCTCCACTGTCTGTTCAGTCGCCAGTGTCTCGGGAAGAGAACCGAGAGGATAAAGCCACCATAAAATGTGAGACTTCTCCTCCTTCCTCACCCAGGACGCTGCGGCTAGAGAAGCTTGGCCACCCAGCCCTGAGCCAGGAAGAAAGCAAGAGGTAAGTGAAGCAGGCCCTACCTCTAGGCTCTCTGTTCCCAAGGTCATCTCATACCTCCCTCTGTCTGTGAAGGGACTTCATCTCACCTGTTATAGGTGCTTGACTGTCTTCTCTTTGAAATATCACCAGGAAAGATGTTCCTATGTCTCCCTTGGTCACCTGTGCTGAGCATATCCCATTGCCCCCACCCCAACACTGACACTTAAGTTCTTCCTGAGGTCTAACTCTCATCTCTCTTGCTGTAATTTAAGTATGTTTCTTCTTATTCCACCCCCTCCTGGCTGTCATCCTGTAGTGCCTTGGAGGATCAGGGCAGCAACCCCAGCAGCAGCAACAGCAGCCAGGACTCCTTGCACAAGGGTGCCAAGCGCAAGGGCATCAAGTCGTCCATTGGCCGCCTGTTTGGGAAGAAGGAGAAGGGCAGGCTGATCCAGCTGAGTCGGGATGGAGCCACAGGCCATGGTCTCTGCCCCTTTTGTAGCAGAGGGCTGGGTGGGTGTCGGGGAGTTCAGGAGCAGGAAGGCGTGTGGGCATGCGGCCTTCTCTGCCTCCAAGGACCAGTGGGCGGAAGCCGCAGGCAGGCAGATTTCAGCTCCAGAGAAAGTGCACTTTTCTGTGAGCTGTTTTACGCTGGGATGAATTGCCTCGTGGGGGTGAGCTCCTGTGCCCAGAAGTGTCAGGCATCTGTGTCCAACTTGGATTTCCGTACCCAGCGAAAGACGGTGCTTTCTTCCAACTTGGAGGTTTGGTGACGCTCTGTTGAGGATTTTAGGAGGAAGCTCTTAGGTCTTTCTTCAGAGGAGTCTATTCTTGATTAGCACTTATTTCTGGTACATTCAGGACTCAGAATATGAAGACACCTAATTATGGCTTTGTAGACATTGAGTTCAAGAAAGTGCTTGGGCAAGGGTGCACTTTTGTCACCACTGTAGTGACCTAAAGCTCAAGTTCATGCTTGGTACATAGTACCAAGCATGGTAGGTACACAGTAAGTGTCTTTCCTCCCTTGCCCCCATTCTTTTTTTCCCTTCCTTCCCCCCTCCCTCCTTTTCGTTCCATCGTCTGTTCAGTCATTTGTTCAAACATTTGAGAACTCTTTTTGTTTTTTTGTACCAGGATTGAATCCAGGGATGCTTAGCCACTGAGGCATGTTCCCAGCCCTTTTTATATTTTATTTAGAGACAGGATCTCGCTGAGTTGCTTAGGGCCTCACTAAGTTACTGAGGCTGCCTTGGAACTCATGATCCTCCTGCCTCAGCCTCCCAAGCTGCTGGGATTACAGGTGTGCGCCATTGTGCCTGGCTTGTTGAAAACTCTTGTATGGCATAGTACAGGGGGTTGGAGCCATAGCTCATTCCTATAGAATGGAATGTCTGATGAAAAGGAAAGAAATAACAAGATGATTCCAAACCCCAGTATGATGGTGGAGCTCGCAGCTAGTTGTGGAGTGGGGGACAGCAGGAATGGCTTCCTCTGCTCCACAGTCCTGAGCTGAAGCTAGAAGACTCACAAGAATCAGCCAACTGCAGAAGAGGTGTGTGCACACAGCACAGGGGGGCAGTGTGAGGAGAGGAGGCTGTGTGGGTGAGAGAGTTCTGTACCCCCTAATGTATGCCCAGCGTGAAGGAGGAGGGCAGGAGGGAGAGGATGGACAGCCATTGGGCCACCTCCTGGGCCTGTTGAAGAAGGTGAGATGTTCCCTGGAGCCACATGAAATTGATGCATGTCATGCAGGGGAGGAACTTGATCAGCTAGAAGAAAGGAACCTTTGAACCCAAATGCATAATTAGACCTTCCGGCACCCCAGGAAGGTGTGAATCAGAACACAGCTGGCTGAGTGAGGAGGCGGAGGTGGAGGATGGGGAAGCTGGTACTTCTGTTCAGGATGTGGGGATGAGGTAGAACACTCTCCTCCCCAGCCCGGGTGAGGGGAGCTGTGGCGCCTCAGGGAAGCAGGAAGGTCTGATAAGTGGCAGAGGTGTTTGGTGCAAAAAAATTTCTGATTTCCTGTTCCTCATACCGTGTTGGCACCTAAACCCAAGATAGCAACTCAGATTGGTTTCTGGATGACCTCTACCTGCTGCCCCTGTGCACCATGGGGTGACCAGGACGTCAGTGAATTGTAAGATAAATACTGTAGCAGGAAGCCATAAATACCGTAGCAGGAAGCCATAAATACCGTAGCAGGAATTCAGGAGGTCCTCAGTAGGTGACAGAGCAGGGTGTGTTCCCCTCTGTAGCTTGTGTAAGCCAGTGCATGCAGAGAAAGAGGCTGGGAGACAGAGCTCTCTGGGCCCATTTCCCTACCCTGACTCAAGTCAGAATAATCCTCTTCAAGCCTCTTAGACCACTCACATCTTCTCTCTGGGTTTGCTTTGCATCTTAGCTTGGAGAGGGGAAGGGGTAGGTTCTGTTTAGGATTCTAGGGTGGGACAACTTTAGTCCTGCTGGCTGGAGGTCACCGCCAGGGCTTGGGCTCCCAAGGGTCACCATCTTGGATGGGAATGACTCATTCAGTCCCACTCTCAAACTGCCTGTATGCAGAGGCCTTGGGAGGAGGCTCTGGGAATAACGTGGGGTCCCATCAGACCCACATGGGCTGACCTACGCTGAGGAGCCTCCTGCTGCTGCTACTCTGCAACTTCCTGCCCAGGCCAAAGGAGGAGAGGCAGAGGGCCTGCCGACACACCCATCTCTTCCCTTCCAGTTCTGCTAACAGACTCCGAGCTCAGTCTGCAGGAACCCATGGTACCTGCCAAGCTGGGGACCCAGGCAGAGAAGGACCGGCGACTGAAGAAGAAGTAAGAGCCATAAGCCGGGCTCTGCTTGGGCCCCACCCACTTTCCTTCCCTTAAGCTACCATGGGGCTGAGCTCTGGGAACCGTAGCCCAGCAAGGCCCTCCCTGAGCTGAGTTGGCCATCAGTGAGCACATCAGGGGCTGCCCTGAGTTGGGAGAGGGTCTTAGGATGGTCCCAGGGAGAAGGAGGCAAGGGGGCTTTGGGAGAGTGACTTGGGACCCATGGGTCTTGGCAGGGCAGTTTAGAATGTCTAATCAGTATGTGTCAGGTCCTGTGCACGGTGAGAGCCCCTGCCCTCTGGCATGGAGAGGTGTTCTTGCTCTACTTCTTGGTATCGCAGTGCTGCAGGTATAGAGAGGAGGAGACCACAGTGGGGAGCAGGGAAGTTGGAGTCCCAACCCTTGACCCACCCCAGTGGTCCCCAGGAGTCAGCCCGGTTGAGTCTCTTGTTTCTTCTTCTACAAGACACCAGCTGCTTGAGGATGCCCGCAGGAAAGGAATGCCCTTTGCCCAGTGGGACGGTCCCACTGTGGTCTCCTGGCTGGAGGTGAGCCTGGCTGAGGGCACCTGCTCTGGGGTCTGGGGCGAAGATTCTGTGGGGCGAGATGAGAACTCCTGGCAGCGGGTGGTGTTCCTACAACTTTCCCAGCATGTGTCTCTCCTGTCAAGTTGCATGTGCCAGGTCAAGCATCCAGCTCCTCCCAACACCCCCCCCTGCCCGGTGCCAACACACATAGCACTTTGAAGGACAGAATTGATGCTACTTTGTAACTGAGTTTGGATAAGAGGGACCAATAACTGAAGCCACAGACAATTTGACTCTTCCTATAGGCTGCTCCAGGAGCCGTGCAAAGAAAATTCCTTCACCTTCCCAGGCCCTAATTTGTAACCCCCACCTTGTCCATCATCCTATGTAGGATACCTATAAAAACTCAAATTAAGCAACTTTATTTAGTTATTTGTGTTCCAATAAAACTTTATTCATAAAACATATAGATGGCCATCATTAGCCCTATGGACCACAGTTTGCCTATTCTTGATATAGTGGAAACGGATAATAACTTGTGATCATGATTCCCATTTTAACTCTTTTTTAATAATTTTTAAAAATTTATTTATTTTAATTAGGTTGATATGACAGCAAAATGCATTTTGATTCATTGTACACAAATGCAGCACAACTTTATGTTTCTATGGTTGTATATGATGTAGCATCGCACTGTATGTGCGGTCATACATGTACCTAGGGTAATGATAGGTATCCTGTAATCTTTTACAGGTTTTTCTAGGTGTCCTATATGTTGGATGATGGGATGTAATCTGTACTATGGGAAAGGGGGTTTGATGATAGTCATCTCCATATTTCTAAGTTGCTCTGTGTTTGTTATACCAAGACCATGGATGAGACCTAGCCTTTGACCCTGGCTTGGTATGGTCAAAGTCTTGGCAGTAGGCTCAGGTCTTGGGGGAAGGGACTGAATTATTACCCCCTACCCCACGCTGTGTCCCATGTCTGCAGCTATGGGTGGGGATGCCTGCCTGGTACGTGGCAGCCTGCCGGGCCAACGTCAAGAGTGGTGCCATCATGTCTGCCCTGTCGGACACAGAGATTCAGCGGGAGATCGGCATCAGCAATGCCCTGCACCGGCTCAAGCTCCGGCTAGCCATCCAGGAGATGGTATCGCTGACCAGCCCCTCGGCCCCACCCACCTCCAGGACAGTGAGTGGCTTCTCCCTCACCCAGGACATTTACAGAAGCCCTGGAAAAGTGTTGGCAAAGTCTCCCATTGGTCTTCAGAAAGATGGTAGCACTGAGCCCTTAACTTCCTACCTCCACAAAATGTTCTCCCTACTCTTTAGGGAGGGTTCAGCATTGGTTCTAAGAGAATCCAGCAGTCCTGGTTCCCTGCCTGCCACATACTGTTCGTGGGCTCCATTTCTCTGTCCCTACCTGACAAAAATTCCTCATCTCTGGGAGGAGACTTCCAGGGTTCTGGGTTATTGTCAGGTTGGGGAAAGTAGAGGCGAGAGAGCATTTATGAATTTTGTCCTGACCTCTAACCTCAGTACAAGAATGCAGACTACTCCATGGACCCCCAAGGTGAAATGTCATTGTTACTTGTCACTGTGACTGGGGTCAGCCCCTTTTCAGGTCAGCACCACTCTTTCATATTTGTCCAGGAGACATTTACGAGTGCTTTCTACTCTCCAGGCACTGTGCTAGCAGTGTGGATACCGTGATACCCGCTCTGCTGTCAGCTTGCTCCCAGCTGGACACAGTGCAGAGCTCTGGGCTGGGCATATGGGGGACTCAGGGGAAGGCAGCTCTGCTCTCTGGGCCTCCAAGCCTTTTAGGGATCCTGGGACACTGCCCTCCCTGCCCAGGGCTAACTAGATTTTTTCCCTGCAGTCTTCTGGGAATGTCTGGGTCACCCATGAGGAGATGGAAACTCTGGCAACATCCACCAAAACAGTGAGTCTGGCCCTTGGCTCTGACCCTGGGGTTAGGGTAGATGACTCCCAGGAGAATGAAGGGAAGACTGTGGGGGGTCAGAGGGGCAGGCAGTAGACCTCAGGTTGGTATCCTGGGTTCCCTTCTCAGGGCAGAGTATTGTGGGGGAAGAGGTGAGACTGGGAAGAGTTAGAGTCTGTGTGGGATCTCCTGGGCGTCATGAGCTTACCCATAGCCCCTGGAATACTGCAGAGGAGAAAAGCTGGGCAGGAGAGGGCTTTGTCCTGCTGTGGGCCTGAGGCCTACCCTTGACTTTGACCCTTGGTGGAGGAACTGGAAGGTTGGGGAAGCTGGCATCTTGCCTGGCACTTAGACAAGCCTGGGAGACTTGGAAGCATTTTTTTTTTTTTTTTTTTTTGCCATACACATTTGCTCCTGTTTCACCACAAACACAGCCACAGGCACCATCCTGCAGCCCCCTCCTGGGCATCCCATGAGCTTTCCCCAGTTACCACCCAGCTACTGGGGTGTCTCCTCCTCCTCTCTGATGGGGCCTGGGGCAGGAGCCTACAGGTTGCTTGACTTTGCCTGTTTCCCTGACATGCTGCACTTGTTCCTGCTAGGACAGTGAGGAGGGCAGCTGGGCTCAGGTAAGACTCCATCCGGATCAGAACCAACTCTCAGCTGGTCAGGCCAGGATCTTCCCAGCAGGTTCTCTTCCCAGCAGGACTTTCCCACTCCCAGTGTGTGTCTTCCCTCTGCTTCCTGAGCCCTGGATGTAGGTTCTTTCCTGCTGAATCCCCCACCACCTCCTCTTTAGCTGCTTGTTCTGGTTGCTCAGGATGGCAGGTGAGGAGCCCTAGAGAGCTGTGCCCCCAGCATGCCTGGCCCCTCTCCTCAGCTGACTGTCTTCTCAAATGGTGAGACTTAGATTGGTATGAATCTTCATCCTTTCCCGGTTCTTCCCAGGGGTACACACAGGTGAACTAACCAAAGGCCTTCCATGCATTCCTCTAGTATGCAAATAATTATTAAGCACCTAGTAGGTACTAGACCTTTCTAAGCACTCTGGATGCAAAAGTAAAGAAGCAAAGCCCCATGAGCAGTAAACAAGGAAGGGGATAATATCAAAAAGCAAGCAGTATTGGGGCTGTGGCTGTGGCTCAGTGGTAGAGCCCTTGCCTAGCACGTATAAGGCACTGGGCACCATATAAAAATAAACAAATAATAAAGGCATTCTGTCCAGCTACAACTACAAAAAAAATGTTAAAAGAAAAAATCAAGCAGTATTAATAGGAATACAAAGGACAGTACTGACAGATAAATAAAGGGTCAATATCAGATAGTGACGAGTGTCATGGTGAAGAATGAAGCATGGAGCAGCACTGTGAATGCCTGCAGGGAAAATCCCATCAGCAGGAGACCGGCAGGCCACTGACAGCACATTCACCTGCAGAACACTAGTCAGCAGAGGTAATGCAGGGACCTGGGAAATATGTTAAATAAAATATGCAAATCCCAGTGACTTCATAGAATTTGATGTTAAAATTTTTTAAAAAGCAAAGTTACTAATATATTGTTTAGAAAAAATACATTGGTGATTATAAAACTTAATTTTTTTAAGTGGAGGAACGCTAGACAGAAATCTCAGTGTGGTGGGTACTTCTGAGCAGTAGGAAATGGGATGGGGTAGATTTGTGGGTGCAGAGAATGTTTTGGTTCTTATCTTGGATGCTGTCCGCAGATGTTAACTTCATTTTTATGCTTAATAATGGACATATGGGACACACGGTTTTATAAGTGTCAACAATTTCATTTTCAAAATATTTTTTTAGTTGTAGGTGGGCTTAATACCTTTATTTTATTTATTTTTATGTGGTGCTGAGAATTGAGCCCAGTGCCTCACACATGCTAGGCAAGTGCTCTGTCACTGAGCCACCACCCCAGCCCCAACAATTTCATTTTAAAAGCTAACAAAATGGAAAATTTCAATCTTAAAATATCAATTAGGGTAAGGGAATAGTGGTGGAAGGCTTGATATCAACAACTAAAGCTTTCTTTCACATATATATATTTTTTAGTTGTAGATGGACACAATATTTTTATTTTATTTGTTTATTTTTATGTGGTGCTGAGGATTGAACCCAGGGCCTCGCTTGCCGTACCGCTGAGCTCCAGCTTCAGCCCAACAACAAAGGCTTTCTAAAGCTGGGTGGTCAGAGAACCCTGCTTGCCCACATCAGGAGGGATGTCTAGAGGGTGTGGGCTTAGAGCCAGGTTGAGGGTGTGCCTGGTGCGAGCAAAGGTTCTGGAGAGTTCTTGGAGCAGAAGACCAAGCCTTAGAGAACCAAACTGGCTGTTCTGACACAGGCCACTGACCTTTGTTTTTTTCTGTCTTTGGCTAATGTTCAACATCCCTGTTGATTACAAGGCCAGCCATTTCCAGTGAGGCTGGCATCCTATACCCCTCTGCAGGGCACTGCAACACAGCCTCGCCCCTGGGCTCAGTGGGCTGGAAGCTCCCTAAGAACTGGGAAGGCAGGTTGGCAGCACAGTGCCACCCAGGCATTCCAGAGATGGCAGGAAGGACGTCGTGTTCTCCACTGTCTAGACAGTTGCTCCCATTCGTTAGGGTAGATAATTGATATGTGAGTGGAACTAGATGGTTCTGGTATCTTGAAAAGTTCCATTTAAAAACCCCCACCACGACAAGCCCCCTAGTGAAAAGAAACTGAAATTTCATTGAACTGCTCTCCCTCCCTCGTGGGTGGAAGATGGAGTAATGTTTCTGGATCAGGTATTCCAGGCGCAATCTGATGGCCCCACTGCCTCCCCCCCCCCCCACAGCCTGCTCCTTCTCATCCCACAGACCCTGGCTTATGGAGACATGAACCATGAATGGATTGGGAACGAATGGCTGCCCAGCCTGGGGCTCCCCCAGTACCGCAGCTACTTCATGGAGTGTCTGGTGGATGCACGCATGCTGGACCACCTCACCAAGAAGGACCTGCGCGTCCACCTGAAGATGGTGGACAGCTTCCATCGGTGAGCCAGGCTGGAGCCAGGGCCCCCTCCCTGACACTGGTCTCCTGACAAAGGACTGGGGTCTGTCTCCAGGAATAGAGGCCCCTCTCACCTCTTTCTATGGCCTGTTCTGGGTGGTAACAGGTCTCCTATTGGGAAAGTCTTCCTCTTTGAGTTCTTGCCTCATCCTGCAATTTGAGGATTTGGTTCTCTTAATGCTAACCCTTAGGGCACAAAAAGTCATTTCTTGCTAGCATCATCTTCTTTGCGATTTTTCTCCTAAGTCTGCATTTCATTGCTTGTCTCGGGATTCCTGAATTCTCTGTGCTTACCCTGAGGAGGCTCAAACCAAATCTGGCATTTGATTTAGGAGTCTCATTCCTTCCAAGTTGAGGGGAAAGAACTTTCTGGGACTTTGCCCTGCCAACGTCCCAGCTGGGAGCCCTTCAGCTTTGGACTCATGTCTTTTTGTACAGGGTATCCAGTCCTCTCCTCTTCTTTACTGAAGGGATCTTTTGTTCAAAAGTGTCATGGCTGAAGTCCCAAACTGGCAGCCTGTGGGCAGGATTTGGCCTACTGATATGTTTTGTTTGGCCCACATGTATTTTAAAAATCATGAGTTTAGTTGCCAATACTTCAACAGTAGGAGATTTTATGCAAACTTCTGGATTTCTGGCTTCTCCTGAAAACTTGAAAGTGCTATCAGTACATTTTAGCTGGGAAACAACCAGCTGTGGCTAGAGAGTGGTTGCTTCTCCAGGACCGGGGAGTCCTTCTCCAGATCTTCCCAGCCCCTCCTTCCTGTTTCCCTCACTTAATTACCTGCCTGGTCCCAAGAGGCATTTGGGTTGGAGAGCCAGGTGGGTGGTGATCGTTCCAGGAGTTGACAGTTTTTATGAAGTGCTTCACAGCATCTAGCTGCAAGTAGCTTGGATTGCTATTTAAGTCTGGTCTTTTCCCTTGAGTGGATAATGAGACATGGGGTGGAACCAGGGATAAGTGGCTTTTCAGGCTTCCCTCAGGACTCTGTGGATATCCCCCAAAATGTGTGGAAATGTGGCTGTCCTTTAACTCATATACCATGCAAATTTAAATCTGGAATGGATCTAGTCGGTCTCTTCATTGTGTGGATGAGGAAACTGAGGCATAGGAAGGAGTAGGCCAAGGCCGCTCAGTGGAACCGAGTCTGCTGACTCATCCAGTGCTCTTGCCACCACCCTGCAGAGACAACTGTCCTGGACCCCTCATCCCTCCTTACTCCACGGGACTTGTAAGGGCCAACTTGTGAAGGAAGCTCTGTCCTCCCTTCCCCCACCCCACTGAAAGGGAATCTTTTGTCTCTGTGTAGGAGGCTGCCAGGCCCAGCTGCACCTGTCCCCTCCTCGGTGATTGATGGGATTGGGGAGAAGGGCTAGAGCTGGGATACGCCTGGGTTGCTAGAGGACTGTGGAAGTCCTCCCCATGGCCCTCTGCCCAGAGCCCAGCCGGCCACATGGTCACAGGCCCAGCTCCACACGCCTCACCTCAGCTGTGCGCTTGCTGCTTTGATTCCACTCAACATTTTGATCAGCAAGTTCTTAGGTCTTGGAAAAGCCTTTGACATTATGATTTTTATGACAAGAAGGAGATATTTCAAAACTATTTTACAGAGAAAACAAGCCCAATAGAGGGTGAGTTCTATCAGGCCACTCAGCCAGGTGGTGACAATGGGCTAAATAAAGCCCTCATCTCTTGACACCCAGTTCAGAGCACTTTTCTTTGGGACAGGGCATTCTGTTGAGCAGGTGAACCCAAGGAGCTCCTGTTGGGTAGAACCCGCACACGCAATAATCAGAACTGCCGTCCTAACAGTGGTCCCATTTCTGAGCACCTGTGATGTTCCAGGGGCTGGACCAAACCCTTCCAGTCACTCACCTTTGTCCTCACCACAACTCCAATATAGAGATAGGACCCATCTCACAGATGCACAGTGCCTCTCAGCTAACAGGTGGCAGAACTGCTATTGAAACCTAGTGCGGCCAAACTTAAGGTCTTTATGCTTATGGTTTTGCGGTGCCACGCAACAGCTTTCAAAGTCTCAGTAATTGTAGTGAGAATTATAGCAAAATTAAAATTAGAGGGTATTTGCCATCATGAGCTGTTTGTATTCATGTCCCTTGCAGGGACCAGGACTTAAATCAGTGATTTGAGCATTAAACGGTGGCTCAGCCGGAAAAGGGTTCCTAGAAATGGTGTCTCTGAGCTGTGGAAGAGATACTTCTTGAGTAGAACTGAGAAGAAAAATGAGAATAATCTGCATAATTTAATCTTACAGTGCCTCAATAGTAGAGTCAAAAGCTGCATTTGGGAGGAAACTTCTATTTTCTGGTTGGGGAAAGAAAGAATGAGGGACAAAAGTGTATTTAAGTTAAGCAAGAATCTGCTGTTCTCCTAGTAAGCTCCCCTGAGAAGGTAGTGAGTCCCCTGTCACTGAGCATGTTCAGGTCTTGGCTCTGTGACTGCTCTGGAGGATGCTGTGGAGACCATGCCTGCCTTAGGAAAAGCTGGGACTGTTGATTGTAGGGTCCCTTCTAACCTGCAGCTCTCATCTTAGTCTGGCTTAGTTATTATTTATTCAGTGCTTATGATGACCTCATACTCTTTAAGTATTCTCAGTAATTTATGTGAATTATTCCATTTAACTCATTCAGCATTTATATAGGGCCTCTTATGTACTAGATGTTTAAAATCAGTGGACAAATCAAAGTTCCTTGACCTCATAGAGCTTACATTTTAACTGGGAGAGACAGTTCAGGAACAATAAACTATGGTAAGTTACTAGATAAAAAGTGGTAGAAAAAAAATTAGTCTAAGGATAAGGGAGATTGGGAGTTTGGGCCGGGTGTGATGGTGCAGTTTCCAATCTGATGAACAAGGTGACTGGTAAACTGGGCTGAGAAGGTGATATTTGAGCAATGCTTAAAGGACAGGAAGCAGTGAGCTGTGCAGCAGACTGGGGAGGAGTGTTCCAAGCAGAGGGAACAGCCAGTGCAAAGACCCTGAGGCACCCTGACCTAGGGAGCCTGCTGTGTTTGAGGAATAGCAGGGGTGTCAGTGTGGCTACAGCAGAGAGAGCAAGGGAAGAGTAGCCAGAGGGAGGGTGAGACTCGGATTATGGGTGGTAGAGGTCTTGTCATTCCAGTGCCTGGAGAGAAAGGACATGTTCAAAGCACTTTTGTTCTAAAAGTCAGGTCCAATCCCTGGCTGAGAAGGAGGACACAGGGTAGCAGAGAGCACGACATAACCTCTGCAGGGTCACATGCAGGCCTCTGCAGCTGGAAAAGCACGAGGTGGCTGGGGCACTCTTGTGCAGAGGCAGCAGGCCTGGATCTGCTGTGGCTGCTGCGGAATGTTGGGCCCATGGGAGACGTGGCCCTGCTGAGGGTCTGGCTTGGGGGTTGTGTGCCTGCAGGACCAGCCTTCAGTACGGCATCATGTGTCTGAAGAGGCTGAATTACGACCGGAAGGAACTGGAGAAGAGGCGGGAAGAGAGCCAGCACGAGATCAAGGGTAAGCTGGTCAGGCCTGGTGGGGGCCTCAGAAGGGTGCGGGAGCAGCCTGGCCTGCTGGTCCCTTCCTTGGGCGGGGTAGAGAAGGAGCATTCTGAGCTCAGGGAAGCTCCCAATTGGAGAGGAAGGTGCAGTCCTAACCTGGGACAGTGCTGCAGACTGGGCTTCTTCTCATGGAACTTGGTGATCTGGGTGGGGTTGGATGAGAAACAGAGGCAGGTTTTAGAAAAGACTTTGAAGGTGGGAGAATAAAAGGCCACTTTGGCCTGGGTAGGCAGAAGATTCTTGCAGAGGCTCTGGAGTGGCCTTATCCCAAGTCCTGCAGGCTGGCAGGGGTACAGTGAGGTGGGGCTGGTTCTCCAGGAGCCAAGGTATCAGGGATGACAGAGACAAGGTATGGGAGGTTGGGGGAAGGGTGGGAAACAGCAGAGTGATGGGACATTGAGTCAAGAGACCCCTGGAGGAGAGGTTGGGCCAAACCTATGTCTCTTTTTGTTCCTTCTATTACCCTGCTCTCCAGATGTGCTGGTTTGGACCAATGACCAGGTGGTTCATTGGGTACAGTCTATTGGGCTTCGGGACTATGCAGGAAACCTGCAAGAGAGTGGTGTCCATGGTGCCCTGCTGGCTCTGGATGAGAACTTTGACCACAACACACTGGCCTTGGTCCTCCAGATCCCCACGCAGAACACCCAGGTGGGCAGCCCTTTAATCAATTGGTCTCACTCTTTTTTCTTTTCTTTCTTCCTGGTGTGTATGTGTGCAGGGTGCTTTTCTGGGGCATGCCCCAGAGGGATTGTAATGCCCTCAAACCTCCAAGAGTGGTCCCTATGCCTGGCGAAGGCTCATGGGAATATGATTTTTCACATGAGGAGATGTTGTTTTTGTCCCCACACTGCTGTGGGGACCTCCATGCCAACACTCTGCATTCCTTTTCCTTGACCAACTTCTCTGACCTGACTTTTCTTACAGGAGAACTAGCTTTGGTCCCCATGGGGATCAGAAAGCCCATATCTCTTTTGTCTGCTCCTGGCCTCTCAGGCTTAAGAAAGCTAAATATACCTGCTAGCACAGCCCAGAGCCTTTCAGCGCCAGGGCTTTGTCTGCCCAGCAACAACTCAAAAGATTAGACATCTCCTTAAATTACCTTTCATAATTACTATGGAGCTGTCATCCAAGAATGTATCTAAATTCTCTTGAACCTATTTATATTTTTGGCCTTTCTAACTTCCTGTGGATAATGGATTCTAGAAGTACTAACAGTTGTATAAAGTACTTCCTGATTTTATTTGTCCTAAAAATGACCCTGTCAGGCTTCCCCTGGGGAAGGAACTCTTAGTTTAGATTTTTTAAGGATGTTTATATTTGATCAGTTCTCACCTTTTGTGAGAACTGTAAATTTTATAAACTCTGAGTATGTTGCCTCTGGGCCCAAGCCTTTGTCTCTCCAGACAGAGTGGTCTTAATTCTTTTAGCCTTTCCTCATATAGACTTGCCTCTGTCCCTGATCATTTTAGCTGCCCTTGTCTGGACTGTTTGCAGCTGTCAGATCGCTTTTGAAATTCAGCCACCAGGGCTGCACAGGCTATTCTGGGAGCAGATGTGTTTTAGCTTGAGGGAGGGTGGTGCTGTGTTGTGCTGTAGTTCTGGGGTGTGTGTTGGCCTTTGGGGGTGATAGTAGCACACTGGGCCAGTGTGTCCTATAGTACCCCTCCTAACCAGTCAAAATAGATAGTGCAGATCCCCTCTTCTCTAAGAAGATCTCAGATGTCCCCTCAAATGCAATTTCCTTACACTTGCCCACCTCAAACTCACTTGCTACCTTCCTGCTCACTCATACAGTTCTGCAAGGTGTTTCTGAAGTTGATACCTGTCCACTTGACCATTCACAACCCAGAGGAACAACATCATGAGATCCTTGAAAATATTATCAGGCTTCTCCTTTAAGATCATGTGTAGGACTGTCATGTTCTCAATACCGATAAAGACAGTATTAGACTGTAAAGACTGATGCAGAAAGCTATGGTTAATTTTATCCACCACGAAATGGGCTTTTCTCTTTCTTTTCCTTCCTATCTCAAAATGCCTTCAGTTATTTTTTGTTTGTTTTGTTTTGGGGGGAGTGCTGGGGATTGAACCCAGGGGTGCTTAACTACTGAGCCACATCCCCAGCCCTTTTTATATTTTATTTTGAGACAGGGTCTCGCTAAACTGCCTAGGACCTCAATAAATTGCTGAGGCTGGCTTTGAACTTGTGATCCTCCTGCCTCAGCCTCCCAAGCTGCTGGAGTTACAGGTGTGCGCCACTGTGCCCAGCTGCCTCCAGTTTTTGTAGATGGCAATATTCCTGAAAATTGTAGCAGCAGCATTTCTATGGCTTTCTAGCCTTTCTTATTTCCTGACTCATTCATTTAGCATATTAGCTGTTGGGGGAAATGCTATCTGATCCAATATGGAGTCCATTGTTTAAAATGGTCAAAAATATCTGTTGGCATAAAATTTTGAAAACATTCCTGTTTCTGGCAATGTTCTTTGTGAGTTCATTTCTAGGAGGTCTAGAGAAAGCTTCTGTACATCATGTAGCCCAGGGCCACCAACAGCCATGATTGAGCTGTTGGTTTAAATTCATGATATGGAACCTTGCACATAGATTTATTTAATCCAGATAAGTTGTTTTGGTTATCTGTGGTCTGCATACTTATCCCCCAATCGCCTCCAAAGGTAGTCAGACATGATTTTCCCCTTGTAGACAAAATATTTGCTTGTTTTCCCAGTAGGTAAAGCCTTTCCATCCATATGTTCTGGGATCCTATTTTTTTAAAAAAATTTTACATTTTTTTTTCTGTTTTCACCATATGAAAGAACCTAAAGCTTAACATTTCCAAGAGGACACTGAGGTTTGCTTGGAGGAGTAACCTCAGAAGTGTGAAGGACTAAGTGTATCAAGCCCTGCCACATCTCTGCCCTTGGACCCTAGGAAGCAGGTGAAAGATGACATAAAGGTCCTTAACTATGCCCTGTTCACCTTCCCTTCTCTCACCCTGTGGACTCCAGGCCCGCCAGGTGATGGAGAGAGAGTTCAATAACCTCTTGGCCTTGGGCACAGACCGGAAGCTGGATGATGTGAGTACATGGTTATGAATTCAGGGCCTCGGGGATTTGGTCATGGTCAGTTGGGTTGAAGTTCATGAATTCTTCTTTCCCTGACTGATCATTGGTGGGCTAGCCTAAGGGAGGGGAGCCAGAGTGGATAGAGATGATGATAGGGGGTTGGGGGGTGGGGTGGCAGGCCAGGCTTAGCTGGGCTTGTCTTGGGTAGCAATGGGCTGTGAAGAAGTCTATGAAACTCCTTTCTGATAGGCTGAAGGCCCCTATAATTATACTTCTAGAATTTTCCAACTCTGGGCCCAGCCTTCCTAACTATGCAGGGTCCAAGGTCTTCCCCCAAGGTCATATCTTTGGGATCATACCTTTGCCTTGGTCTCTGAGACCCCATGTCTTCAGTGTTGACAGCCAGCATGTCTCTGACCTGCAGAGTAAGACTGCAGCCCACCCACTGTAGTGTGGTTGTTTGGGGACAGATGCTCTGCTGAGGCTGCTGAATGGCAGCCGTGCTCCCTGTTCCTCAGCGCAGCCTGATGCAATGAAAACTGGTTTGGGCTTTACCATCCCAGCTTTCTAGCTGCACTTTTCTGTCTCCCTTCACTCCACGTGGAAGTTTCCCTCTTGCAGCCCTCCTGCCGCTGAAGACACAGTCCTTTGCCCCTAGTTTCTTCAGGCCTTCCCTTTGGGTTTAGGGGCAACCCTGACATCCTGAGCCATAGTGCTCCCCTAGAGATGCTACTTCTGCACACCTGTTTCCTGAGGACCCACTCCTCCTCAGCCCCACCTTCCCTGCCCCCACTCACTTTCCTTTCACCAACCTTGCTTGCCCTTGGCTGTCATGGCTGCCGTAGCTGATTTGGCTCCAAACAAGTTTTAAAAAGGGCCCAGACTATTTATTTATTTTTAGCTTCTCCATCTTCAGTCAGATCATTGTTTCTTAGTTGGGTTTAACAAGGCTAAAAACCACCTTTGTAGAGTGATTGCCCTGCCCTAGTAGACAGGACACACTGGGGAATACACAGAATTTGTGGAGGTATGCTTTCTTCACAGAGGTACCTTGAAGTTGTGGGGGGGTGGGTGGTAACTCTGTGTGTGTGCGTGCGCGTGCGTGTCTGTGTGTGTCTTTGTATCTCAATCAAGGAGATAAATTCGTACTCCCCAACTGTCCCCACTCTCAGAGATCTTAATTTTCCCATTGCCTACCACTTAGCCCACACACACACACCTAGATAGGATCTTAGCTTTCTTCGTTGCTATCTGGAAAAATGAGCCCCATATATATTAGCACGGTGCTTCTAATTTAGAAAATTTTCTATTCCTTCAGTTCTTACAGAAATACTCAGAAGGCCTGCTGTGTTCCAGGGATAGGCCAGGCAGAGTGGCACAATGTTCCAGATGTTTCACTTTGTGCTAACAGTCATCTATGGAATGGATTACTGTCCCCATCTAGGAATGGGTTACTATCCCCATCTTAGAGATGAAGACATTGAAGCTTAAAGAAATACTTTACTGGGTTGGGGTGTAGCTCTGTGGTAGATCACTTGCCTAGCATGTGCTAGGGTTCAATCCCCAGCACTGAAAAGGAAAAGGGCAGAGTTGAGATGTAGAGAACAGAACTGGAGTAGATGTGTGTTGATTCCTGTGCTCTCTCCCCTGCATCCCACCACCTACTGGAAGCTGGCATGGCTGGCTGATCTATAAGACTTTGGGGTGGAGTTATGGAATTGAGTGGGTGATGCCGTTGGTCAGTAAAGTGAGGTTTCTGAGATGCAACTCCATGTGGGACTATAGAGGACTGGTTCTTGCAGGGAGCTTAAAGCAGAAGCCAAGTCCTGGGAAAGGGTGAAATTTGGTGAGGGGGCTGGGCAGAGACCTGTGGAAGCTGCTTCCTATCTAGCTGTCTAGTGCTTCTCCAACAACCTGGAGCTGTCTCTTGCTAGTCTAGTCCTGTCAGTTCTGGTTCTGTTTCCCTTCTCCAACTTCAAGGCTCTGAAAAGCTGTAGCAAGTTCTCCCTCTCCATGGAGATCAGGACCGAAGGGAAATCCAGAGGGACAGGAAGAACATGTGCTTCTTAGGGGACAGAGGAGGAATACAGCAGGAAGTCCTTAGGATTGGCTGAAAGTGGAAATGGGGGCTGAGAGAAAGGGCTCCAGGCTAGTTAAGAGCAGGACATGAGGAAGCCGCAGGTTCCTGCCAAGTTCAGGAATGGACTCCTGTGTAGGGAACCACTGCCACCTATTATTTAACAAATATCTGTTGAACGCCTACAGTATTCCCAGACACTACTCAGGAGCTGGGGAGACATTGGTTGGAACAAAAAAGATCACGGTTTCTGCAATCATGGAACATAGAATTTGAGAGAGAGGAAAAGAGGGATAAAGTGAAAGGGTAGGGGGAGGGAGGGATTGAGGAGGTAAATGAAGGAGAGGAAGAAAATAATGAAATAATCTCCTAAATCCATAAAAAAATGCTACTGGAACTAGTGCTGTGACAGAGATACCTGGTGCTAAGAATCGGTTAGAATGTTTGGCCTCCAAGGGCTTAAACAACAATCTTAGCCAAGCCAGGTGACATACCTATAATCCCAGTTACTCAGGAGGCTGAGGTAGGAGGATTGCAAACTCAAGGCTAGCCTGAGAAACTAAGCAAGGAGACTCTGTCTCAAAATAAAACAAAAACAAATCCTGAGGGGTTGGCAGGAGTAGTTGGGAGAAAAGCAAAGGGTTAGTGTCCTTTTCCCTGCTGGGATCACTGTGCCTGCACCCTGGGGGCTCTTTCTCCCACACAGGGGGGGGTGGGGGGGGGGGGGGGTGATGGAATGAGGTGTGACTACAAAGCAGGGTGGATGTGGCTCTAAAGGGTGGAGTGGGAAGTGGGAGGCCTTTGCAGGGTAGCATCCTGTAGGGTTGTGGCCCTGGTGCCCTCTAGTAGAGATAGTTATTTTGGAGACTTGGTGTCATCTGTGAGGTGGCAGATGGCTGGGGACTGCCAGTCATGTCCTTTGGAGTATGTCTCTGGTCATCACCCATCACTGTCAAAGGGTTCTCTCATCTAATCCTATTGGATAGGTAATCTGAGAAGTAGTTGGACAGATGTTGGTGTTCCTGATTTACAGAGTAGGAATCTGAGGCTTAGAGAGGTCACTTAACTTGCCCAACGGCACACAGCGGGTAATATGGAAGAGTCAAGATTGGAAGTCAGGTATCCTGACTGCCTTCACAGTGCTCTTCCAGAATACCTGGGTGATAGTCTTAGGACGCAGAAGGACAGGAGAGCATGTGTGAGGACTGTCCGGTGCGTTTCTATGGGAGGCTGAGAAGAGGAACACCTTGAAAGTCCAATGGGCACCCCAAACTCAGGCTTAGAAGATTAATGTGGGTAGAGAAGCAGAGTCCAATGCCAGATGACAGATCTGACCAGAAGGCTCTCCCGTTCTTCCCCCAGGGAGACGTTAGAGAGTTGTAAGGACCCATGGGAGTCATCCACTTCAACTCCAGATTTATCCACTGGTGGAAAAACTGAGGACTAGAAAGGGGGAAGTGACCTTGTCCCTTCTTTCCAAAGGGAGTAGTTAGTATCTCCAGAACTAGCCACAACTGCCCTTCCTGGGGCAAGGAGTGAGTGACAATCACAACCTCCTTGGGCCTCTGCGTGTCTCCACCTTGCAGGGGGAGGACAAGGTGTTCCGCCGCGCGCCCTCCTGGAGGAAACGCTTCCGGCCGCGGGACCACCACAGCGGCGGCATGCTGGGCACCTCGGCAGAGACGCTCCCGGCAGGCTTCCGCGTGTCCTCCCTGGGGACCCTGCAGCCCCCTCCCGGCCCTCCCAAGAAAGTCATGCCTGAAGGTGAGTGACCGGCTGGCTGGGCATGGCCGAGGCCCCGCTGGGCGCGGGCTCCAGACCAGGAGTCCCGGGCCAAGCCGGGTGGAGGGTGCGCGGCCGGAGCTGGCGGCCCCTCGCACCCTCGGGCTGACACTGCACTAACGGCTGCCGCGGGGGGCGCTGCGGGCAGCCCCTGCCGAGGAGTGTGTCGCTGCGGCCCGCGAGCGAGCGTGTGCGCACACTAACCCCGCGCTCTGTGTGTTCTCCCGCTGCCGACTCCTCCCAGCCGGGCCGGCGGGGGCGCAGAGACTGGAGACCTCCGCGGTTCGGACCTACTCCTGCTGACCCCCCCCCTCCCGCCCCGGGTCTGACGGGGGTGTGCCCCTGGCTCGGGGTAAGTGGGCCTGGGACGCCGGCGCCTGCTGCTGCGCTCGGCCCCACGCGCCTGCCCCTGGCCGCCGGCCTGGCCCTGCCACCCGGCCCTGCCACCCCAGCCCCGCTCGCCAGCACTGCCCGGCTTGCCCCTTCCTGCTTCGTGTGGCCTGGGGCGCTTTGTGCTTGGGAGCATGCCGCAGACCCCTCGCAAGCTGCCTCCCAGGGACTGCCTGCCCGCCCACAGCGCGTGCCTTTCTTCTCTCTCAGCTCATTCCCACTATCTCTACGGACACATGCTCTCCGCCTTCCGGGACTAGCCACGGCCTGGGCCGGCGTCCTTCTGGTTTCACAGGCTCAGCCGGCCCTGACCCCTCCTGCTCGTTCCCCTTCTTCCCACGGCTCCTAGTCTCGTCTGTGACCTTCCGGTTGCCCTGGATCTCAGAATATATTCATCTATCCCCTCGACATCCCACTACTCCTGAGTCCCACTGCGTGTCCTTTGTAAGTCTCGTGATTGTGGCTGGGGTCTCCCGTGTTGTGGAGGCACTCAGGTTGTCCATGCTTGGGATTCTGGGGGAAGAGAGAAGGGCAGCCCGCAGTGGCTGTGACCTCACCCTCCCTCTGGACCTGGCCTGGTTTGGACTGCGCCCTCCACCAGGAGGATCCTGGGCCAAGGACTGAGATGGCCCTTTCAAAAAAGGTGGCACTTCACACTGTCCTGTTTGGGCTATTTGGTCTTTTGGTCCCTGTCCACTCTGGTTGTGCCAGATTGTCTGAGGGTTGGTTTTGGCACCCTCAGCTCCACCCTCCCCCAGTCCATCACCACCACTTGCAGCTTCTGCCTTGAGGACTTGCTTGGGGCTCAGGATGCTGAGGCTAGGAGAGGATCTAGGAAACCTGAGGTAGAAATTCTGAGTCCCCACTCAAATTGAATCCCAAACATGAGTTTGGGAAGAATCAGAGCAAAATGGACCTCAGTTTTGGGCTAAGGTCAGGGTGGGGAAACTCTTAGCCCCATGCCCAGTAAGCCGGGTAGGCAGGCAAGCTAGTAGGAGCTGATGACCTCTGGTAGCCTTAAGCTCAAAGGACAGTAGGAATGATACCAGCCCCAACCAAAGGGTGGAGCTTCATCTGGGCTGGGAGGAGTGCATCATAACCCTGGGGCAGAACAGATCCCACTGGGTTCTGCCCACTGTGACCCCAGCATCTCTTCCCCATCATCCTCTGCCTTACTTATTCAGTAATCCCAGCCCCCTAAAAATGAACCCGATGAGTGGATTGAATATACATTGACCCTAAAAGCAGATTTGGGAAAAAGACAGTCTGAAGCTTTCTTCCTTTGACCTGCTGAGAAGAAAAAGCTTCCCCTTCTGAGAATCATGTCCCAGGCCTAGGAAATGTAGTGTTGATGAAGGAAATCATTCCTGCTTGTCCCTAAATCATCCAACCCTCTTCAGGACTCTTTTGCTGTGCAGGGACTGTCACCTCCAGAAATTTCTGAGACCCACCCAGCTTTCACCATTTTGTTTTCCCTATCAGCATGGTGGGAATGGGCAGAGGGCTGCAGGTCCTGGTTTGGAAGGAATACTATTCCCAGAAATCTCTCTTCCCTACCCATTCCTTCATCTTACCAAGGTGCCTGAAAGTGCTTGGAACTCAAGTTCATGGGTTGATGGGATCTAGGGCTTCATCCAAGTGAGAGGAGAGGGAGGGTGTCTGGGCGTGTTAGTTGGAGAGATGCCAGTGCAGCGCCATCCTACAGGTGGCCGGAGCAGCTGGTTTGCCGCCTGTTCCACTTGGCTCTGAGCAGGGCTAGGCTAGCAGGTGGAGTAATGGGCCACAGTACCCTGTCCTGAAGGACTGCTGGAACCTGGAGCTGTACTGGGACTTAGAGCCTGGTGCTACCTCTTAGTAGAGGGAGCTTGTCCAGTGGTGTGTCTAGGGGCCTCTCCCCTGGGCTGGGCCAGGCAACCACCTGCCCTTGCTCTCTGTTATTGCTTCCTGCCCTTTCTGCCATCAGGCTTCTAGGAGTAGAGACAGAGCATACAATGAATCGGGTAGAGAGAACACGCCCCTATTCTTGGGTAACGGATGTTGAAATTATGAACATACTCCAGGTTCCTGAGATGGGTGGAGTGGAGCAGCAGAAGGCCATCTGCCTCCCGCAGGGGAGTCTCATGGCTCGCTGCGTAGGAGAGGCAGCTCTAGCCTCTTGTCTCTGCATCTTCACCTTGTCGTGGTTGGCCTTGTCATAGGCGGCAGCTGGGCCCCTTGAAGAGTGTTGCAGGGAGACCATGAAGCGGCATCTACACAGTGACGGAAGGCGGTTGTCTCGGTGTACCCCTTGCCTCATAGTCAATATATTTTTTTCCTTGAGAGTCACCAGTGACCCGAGCCCTCCTCACCAGCCTCCTGTGTCTCACCAGGCCCCTTCTCAGTACTGTATTGGCTCAGTGCATCAGGAGTGGGTGTGTGGGTGTGTGTGGGTGTGAGTGTGGGTATGTGCGTACCAATAAACAACCTGGTTTTAAGACAATGTACAAATGGCCTCTGGTCCTTTTTCCTTTTTTAAAAACAAAACAAAAAAACAAACAAACTTTGAGCTCACTTGACGGTCCAACTCCTTTCAGAGTCCCAAGGGCTGCTATATTCTGGAAAGGAAGTATCAATTCAAAACTTGTAGTTGATAACCTTCTGTTTACTTATACAACCACAGGATTGATGGGGAAGTTCATGTTTAGGTTGCTTGGGCCACAAAAGAAGAGGCCAAGAGAAAGGGGTGAGGAGCCCGACTCCCGGGCTTGACTGTTTCCTCCTTCATCTCTGAATCTCCTGCCCAGGCTTCCTCGGCTCATGCTGTTCACACCGCTCCCAGAGCTGCTGCTGTCTGCCCTTTCAGCAGCTCCCTGCCACCTCTAAATCCCTGCCACCTCTAAATCAGGGACCCAGCTCCTCCTCCTGGTGGCCATATGAAGCCATGCATGACTGGATTCCTTGGCCCTCTTCTCTGTCAGTCTCGAGTCAACCCAGCCCCTCACCAGAATGCAGCCCCACTATTTTTATTGCCTTTGCAGCTTCAAGTCTTCAGGCCATTTCAAGCATCACCCGGGAGATAATGCCTGCCCCTCCCAAGCGTAATAGATGACCAGCAGTCCTTAGCCCCCCAGCTCATAGCACATTGTCATGCTGAGGGTCATTGTGGTCTCCTGGCCTATCTCCATACTGGGCTGAGGACACTCCTATAGGTCAGTCTCATTGCTCTCTGCATTCCTAAAAGTACATATTCGAATGATGAACCAACCTTATCTCAGAGGGTTGTTAAAGGATTAATATTAGTAAGAGCTGAAAATTAGTGGGTATTGTGTGCCAGACACTGTTCTAGCCATTCTTTCTTAGTTTGTTCTGATGCTATGACAAAATACCTTAGACTGGGTCATTTATAAATAGCAGAAATTTATTCCTTATAGTTCTGGAGTCTGGAAAGTCCAAGATCAAGCCAGCAGAGTGGGGGTCTGGCAAGGGCCCAGTCCTCAGAGATGGCGCTTTCTTGAAACATTTGCACACGGTGGAAGGGGCGGAAGGGCTAACTGGGCTCCCAGATCTTTTATAAGAACACAAATGCCATGCATGAGGGTTCTACCCTTGTGACCTAATCACCTTCTAAAGGCCTGTTTTTATTTGTTTTGCAGTGCTGGGCATTGAATCCAACTGCTCTCTGCCACTGAGCCATAACCCCAGCCCTTTTTTATTTGTTGTCTTGAGACAGGGTCTCTCTCAGTTGCTGAGGCTGTCCTCAAACTTGCCATCCTCCTGTCTCAGCCTCCTGAGCCTGAAGTATTTGGGATTATAGGTGTGTGCCGCTGGTCTTGGCTCAGGCCTGTTAATACTGTTGCATTGGGGACTATGAATTTTTGGACAAACAAACTTTACCCATAGCACATACCAAGTAGATTAATTTATTTAATCTTTACAAACCTGTATTTATATAGAACAAGAAATTTTAAGGCTAATATCACAGAGCTGGGAAGAGAGAGTTGTCAAACTTGGTCTGCCTAACTGTGGGGTCCTTGACCACAATCCAGATGTTAAAAATCCTGACCCAGGACCAGGAGAGCTTGGCAATATTATGTGCTTCTTTTTTAAGTGAACTCATGCTTTCTCCAAGCTTCCCCAGCTCTTTCCCCACCTCCCAGATGGCCTGTGCCACTCAGATGGCTTATCAGTTGTCACGGGGCCACGTTTGCTCTGTTCATCTAAATGGCAAACTCCCTTACATTCAGCATAATGTATGGTGTATCCTCATCTCCTCTCATGGTCACCAGTACCCCAACACTGATGGAGCAAGGGTGGCAGAGTCCATAGCACAGGTGACTGGAGAGGAGCAAGACAAAGCAACGTGACACAGCCAGGAAGGGCAGACAGAGTTGAGGGAAGGTGAGGGAAGGTGCTGGCCTAGCGCATACAGGCCTCTCCCCCTCCCATCAGAATTCGTGAGCCTTGGTGACCAGCTGTCTACAGGAATGAGCTCTGAGGGGCTGGGAAAACCATGTCTTCCTCCTATTGCCAACCACTGGGGTGGGGATGCAGAGGAGCAGGCTCATGTGGAAATGTGGGTTTGATTTGGGACATGCTGAGCTTGAGACGAGACCCCCAGCATCATGTTTGTCTTAGGATTTGTAGAAAAGAAAGAAGACTCTAGGTTTCTTTCCAGGGATCCTTGTCTTTCCCCCTCTAGGAAGGTTCTAAGCAGACTGAGAGGCAGGGAGTCTGGGTCTTTGGAGGTCAGGGAGGAGGCACAGCCAAGTGGCTAGGGGTGGTGATGTGGGTTCCCACCCAGGCCTAGGTTGTGCTTCCTTAGCCAAGACCCTGGCTCAGCCTGGAATGTTCTAGTCACCAGCCCGGAGCCCGGGAAACCAGGAATTTAAAGAAGTCCAAGAACCATGACATGTTGGGATGGTGTCTTACCCATCAACAGATATCTGAGTTGAGGGGGCTCCTCTCCTCTCACGCTCCATTGTAGCCCCCTAATCTCCCTCTCCAGTTGGTCCAACCACCGACTACACCAGCATTAAAAAGGTTTTCCAGCCTGCCAAATAAATTACCTGGAGAAGTTGGATACCAAGAATGTTTATTGGAGTGTACAAATAGTACTTAAAGCATTCTGTAATTCCCGCTAATTATCTAAGAAGTTCCTGTTTCCATACTAACAACTGCTATGCCAATTTCAAGTAATTCTTATCTTTTTCATTCTAGCGTATTCCCTAATGTCCACAATTAGGTGACATTTGATTAACCTAGCTTGATTTATGGTAGGTGCTTCCACTGAAGAAGGAGATTGAGCTAATTTCCCTAAAGAACTCCACCTCATTATTCATTAATTGGAGTTTTATCTGTAATTCTATTGTGAAGGTTAAGGATTTGTTAATTTAAGAAAGCTCCTTTGATGACAGTTGTTTATTCTATGAAAATGCTGAGTGAGCCGGGCCTCCTCTGTGTCACTGTTTGCCATTCACACCTGTGCAGCTTCAGCAAATTGTTTCTCCCTGTGGACTTAAAGACTGTGATGAAGTAGGTAGGTGACAAGGGCAGGACCTGTTGACTCTATTGCTGAGGCCCAACTGTGTGAGTATGAACCTCAGTTTCCAACTGACGTGGTAACTGGAGAGGAATGGATTTTGAAAATGAATCCTGCGCTGAGGATGTAGCTCAATGGTAGAACTCTAACCTAGCACGTGCAAGCCCTGGATTCAATCCCCAGCACTGTAAAAAAAAAAAAAAAAAAAATAGCTTCCAGCAATCCCAGAGCCTATCAGCTCCTTAGTGTTGTTGAGTACCCTTCTTCTTGGCCAGCTCTAGATCCCAGGAAGAAGCAGGACAAGGGATAGGAAGGTCACCATTGAATGATGCAGTGGGGTTGTATCCTCCCTAGGAGCTTGGGAGGTGCCAGGGCAGAGGAAATGAACCCAAGGGGAGAAGAACCCCTTCCCTTCATAGTTGAGTATTTTGGTGGGTAGTGAGGGGGTGAATGTGGATTCTAGAGTCAAGGCATGGTGGCCAGCTAGTTGCCTTCCTCAACCTAGGGCAGGGAGTCAGGGCTAAGAGTCATGGAAATGACCTAGAGAGACTTTAAACTCAGTGCCAAACTCAAAAAGAAAATCCTACCACTGGGGCAGATTAGGCCAACTTGTGATTCCCAGTAGGAGCGGCCCTCACTTGTTACTTGGGACAGGCAGGCCTCAGCAAGAGCCTACCTTCTATATCCTAACCCAAGTTCTCTTAGGCTCCATTGAGGCTTTGTTCCTATTCTCAGGCAGAGCTTTTAGAGAAACTGGGGTCAGGGTATTAGCCCCGCCCCCCTCTAGGTGCAAGGTCAGGAGGGCAAGTGTGGGGAGATGGCCCACCTAAGCCCAGAGCAAGTACAGATGGTCATCAGCACCTGATAGTTTAAACTGGGTCGAGTCAGTTGTCAAGGGCCCCAGAGAATTGAATGGGGGCTGGAACATACCACGCTCTGAATACCTGTTCTGTAATGATTCTGAAACCTATAATTTGCAATAAATCGTACAAACTTAGCCCCAAGCAGTTGGAGTTAATATAAGTTTTTAGTAGGTGTTCTTGGTCCATTTCAATTCTAAATTTCTGTTAACTCCCCAGATAATCCTTATGTAATCTATCCATAAATCTTTGTTCTCAGTTTCCCACCCACCTTCCCCCCTTAGGAAGCCAATCTTCGAAAAACAGCATCCCAAATGAAGAGAAACCCAGCTTCTCTTCCTTTGATGGTTCTTTGTGACCCCCTTTCCCCAGCAGAATCTCCATCTCTGAGCTGAAGGTAGGGACAGGAATCCTCCTCTGCCTGGAGGGAAGGGAAGATGAGGGGTTGTGCTATTTGGCCAACAAGGAAGTGAGAGTATTTGCCCCTTGCTCTGATTTAGTCACCTCCCACTTCTCTATAGGGATTCTGATAATGTGGAACGGAGGGAGAGACAGGGATTAGAGAGGAAATACCCACAAATTCTAGTGATACGCCCCTTGCCCTGGCTGTGGGTGCTCTGGGCATGTGAGCATACAAGCATGCTTAATTAATTGAAGGCCAGGCTACTGGGCTATAAAAATTAGAATGCAGCAGACTTGAGCAATATCTATAAGTTAAAGAGCAGTGGAACACTCAGAAGGTCTTCCTCTGTGTCCTGTAAGCATTTCTGTGGAGTCTGGTCTTCATCCAGGCTATGAATCACACCCTCCCAGCTCCCCTTGTAATGGTAGAAAGCAGGTTCCCCAGTGCCTAGTGACCCTCTCAAGGGGGTGCCCACAGCGCTTTTGGAACTGCAGTCTTTGGAATCTTTGGAAGCCCTGCCCCTGGAGGGTGTTGGGATGGCTGAGTGGGAGGGGTTGGGGCTGTCAGTCACCCCCCTCCCTCTACATCATCACAGACACTCTTCTAGCAACCAGTCTTTATTCATTTTTTAAAAAAGGAAATCCAAATAAGTTAGCAAAAAAAAAAAAATTACAAAACCACACGATGCTTAGTTAACAAAAGAAATCACCCCAAGAGTCCCCGCCCCCTTTTCCTGCCTGTCCCCGGCAACTTCAGCACAGGAGACCTTGGTCAGATGGCAGCTTTACAAACAACACACAAAACAAAACAAAACATAAAACTGCTGGAAGGTTCCCAATATTCACTGCAAAAGCTTGGCCCCCCAGGGACTTGGGAACAGAGGGTTGTTCCTCTCCCTTTCTTCTCTCTCAACTCAGGGCAGGCCCAGCCCAGCCACTGGCATCAGGAAGAGACCAGGACAGGAGATGTGCACACTTGTCCAGGTCAGGACACTGTCTTTTTCTCTCAAACCATTTCATTTGAGGGGTGGAATTAAAGGCTGCATTATGATAAAAAGGAAGCTCCTGAGTTTGCCCCCCTGAGCGGGAGGTATCCACAAGGGGGCGCTCTGGTCCCCTGCTGTATCTCCTTGGAAAGGGGATGCCCTCTGCTCTTAAGGAGTCAGCTAACTGAGGGCATCCGTTCCCTTGCTGGGAGGTGCATAAACCTTATATGGATGAGGAAGGGGATAGTCTGGCCTGTGGCAGCCCAAGGCTGTCTTCCTGGCATCAGGACAACCTGGCTTAGAAGGCCACCGCTGCAGAAGTGGTGGCACCTATGGCCAGCTTGGGGGCTCATATGGACACCCAGCCTGGCAGACAATCTCAGTTGGGCATGGTTTCATCTGGGAAGGCCACAGACACATCCTCCACTGTGATGCTGTCCACGATGGAGGTGAGGGAGTGCAGGTTGTGAGCATCTGTAGGGTCAGCCGCAAGGAGATGATCTGTAAGGAGAAGGTGGGGAGGGGTTACCTAGGTGAGGAAGTGGGATGAGGCCTTTGGAGTGATACAGGTTTACTAGGACAGAGGAATGCGCCTCAGGCGTGTGCCTGATCTCTGAATTCCCCTAGCAGAGGATTTGGAAGCAACTATTCCAAGGTGAAGCCAGGATAGTGTATCCCAGGAGACTGGAATTGCCCTTTGCTGGGCCCAGTTGTGCAACACTGACTCAGCAATTCCCAGGGACCCTTGGGGCAGGGACAGTCTCCTGTGGTTGAGGTCAGTCACCAGGCACCAGCTAGGGAGCTACAGGAGGTTGCAACTGCTACTCTCTAGCTGGTCAAGGCTTCAAGGAGGCACAGGGCCTTCCAGCCCACTGTTTGGGGCCCTGAGGTCAGCAGGTCCCTGGAGAAGCCACAGGAAGAGGACTGGAGCAAGGATTGAGGTAAGAGGGGAGAACCCCTGGGGAAGGGTGGAGGGATCAGAACCAGAGTCAGGCTTCACTTACCACCCGTATTTGGGCCGAACTCCAGTGCACTGCCCCATTCTGGACTGCAGGAGGCGCTGTGGGAGTTGCATTCACTGGGCACCTGCAAGTCAGAGACAAGGCCCAAGGTCAGGGCACAGCCATCCTTGGATGTGTCTTTGCCTCCAAGGAATAGGCAGAACCATGGTGGGATTGGAGGGTGGACCATAAGCTGGGACCCTCCAGCCCGGGATACCCCCACTCCAAAATGTTTGCACTACAGAGACCCTGCTTCCAGGCCTGTCCTGGCTCCCGTCCTAGATGATGGTTCTGCCTTCACAGAACACCAGCAAAAAGGGTCTCTGGCTTCCCTGTACCTGGAGATAAGGATGACCAGGCAGAGTATCTGACCTGACTAGGGTGACTTCTCAGCAGGCTTGCTAGGGTCCCAGTGACACTGGGTGGATTTTATCTGTTCAACCATACCTGGGACAGGGATGGGGTAAGGAGCAAAGTAGGCTGCTTTGGCTGTAGTGGCCTGGCTTTTTAGGCTGTGACTCAGGGATGGGGATTCATTCTCCACTTAGGATCATTATGGACCTGTTCCTAAACTCCTCTGCAGTCCTGTGCCAGTGGGCCCCCACCCCATCTGTATCTCCTGTTCAATGCCTTTATCTTGTCTTAAGAGCCTGGGGACACAGGAGGTCAGCTGCACAGCCTAGCCCTGACAAAAGAGGGGGTCCTGTGGCCTCTCAAGGCCCTGCCTGGCACCTGCTCCAACCCTGTGTCTGAGCCCATCTATGGCATCCAGAGACCATCCAGGCGCCTCCCTCTGGGCCCTACCCCTGAGGCAGGTGCACGGGCCACTTACCGGGGGCTGCGGCCCGCCCCCGCCTCTGTAGCGGAGGTCGCGCTCCTCCTGGTTGAGCGAGCTGAGCAGAGCCTGCAGGCGCTCGATGTACTGGATGGCGCTGCGCAGGATCTCCACCTTGGGCAGCCGCTGGTTGGGGTTGAGCAGGGTGCTCCTCTTCAGGGCCTCGAAGGCCTCGTTCACCTTCTTGAGCCTGCGCTTCTCCCTCAGCGTGGCTGCCCGCCGCCGATCCACCGACACCGACTTCCTCTTACACACCTTACATGCCCAGGGCAGGCACTGGCCTGGACAGTGCTCGGGGGTCCCCAGCCCCTTGTCTTCCAGGGGCCCCCGGGCCTCGGGGCTCAGGCTGAGCTCAGTCCGCTCGTAGCCCGGTGGCTCGAAGCCCTGGAGGTGGACAGGTAGGTAGTTCTCCCCGTCATAGAAGCGGGGCTCCTGGTAGAAATAGGGGGATGTCTCATAGAGCTCCATGGGGTCGGAAAAGACTTGTTCCTGCCTCTGGCCCCCAAGCTCCTGCAGCCCCTCACGCCAACTGCTGGGTGCCATTTAAACCCTCCCCGCTGGCATGGAACCAGAGATAAATATAGCCAACGCCACAGAAACCTGAGCCCCCTCTAAGCTGTTGCTGCACATCAAGACGTTTACAGTGGATTAGATGTGATTCCCCTTCCCTCTCCCGTGGCCCCCACCCCACCCAGCCAGCCTGCCCCATGGCCAGGGCGGCTCCTGTGCACGGGTCGGGAGGCCGTTGGGTGTAATTTGATTAGTTTTCATTTCTCTGCAGCCCCAGTGGGACAGGGAAGGTGGGGGAGGACACATTCCCCCTCTCATCTGCTCCTTTCAATTACTCCTAGCCGGGCGGCCTGCCTGCTCTCTCCTTGCTGGTCCCGAAGCAGAGGGTGGGTGTAGGGGGAGGAGGGAACAAGGAAGGGGGCAGTTTAGGCTGGAAAGGAACTTGAGTCATTCTGTCCACCTCCCTGCTGCCTGACAGCACCTTAACCATACTCTATCCTTCCAATGCGACTCTTAAAGACCCTCTCCAAAGAATGGGGCTTCTTGGAATCTGGAGGATCTGGTGGGTCCCCCAAAGGAGGACAAAAACAGAGTGGCAAATGGATTCAATTTCTGGGTTTCCAATTGGCCTTGACCCTGCACTTTCTCTTAGAGAATCATGTGACTGGGGGAAAATAGAGTCAAGAGATTTTTTTTTCTTTTTAGTAGGAATGGGGGAGGTTTTCTTTGTAATATATAAGGTAGGGTCAGAGTTGGGGTTAGAACTTACATCCCACACATGGCCAGGTCATAGGTGTTAAGCCTTCTGCCTCTTTTCTCGGTCCTCAAATGTTTCCTGCCCCATTTGGACACCCAAATCTCGCTGACTCCTTCCGGTGGATGGCAGAGGGAGAGGAGAGAAAACAGAGCCCTTTAAGCTCAGTTTACACCTTTCCTCACCTGGACCACCTGTGTGGGTTCTTCTGCCCTTTCCTGCCTGAGACATCAGTTTGTACCCATGTGCAGGTTTCGAATGCATTATATAGGTCAGGTGGAGGAGGGACTATTTAATCTTCAGGCGTCTTAATCCATGGTCACTTCTTTGTAGAGGTCTGGGGTCTGGGGGGGCTCATTCTTCCCAATGCAGTGGGCAGGTCTCAGCAGCAGTGAGCAAGGCTCAGTCTTAGGGCTGGGGATTAAAAGAGCCAGGGACAACTAAGGTGACATCCCTACCTTCCACCTTACCATCTAGTGGGCCATGTTGGTCACCTCTTTTATCTCAATCTCTGATACCCAAATCCCCTTCCGGGTGGCCATTGTTCAGCTTATACTGTGTCACAGGACAGCCCATTCCATTGATCCGTAGCTTCAGGAATCCTGAGCTTTAAGCTATAATCTTTTACCCTTGGGTCACAGTGCTTTCCAGGAGCCTGTAGACGAAGTCTGATCCATCCTGCTGTCCCTATCCCAATGGCAGATGAAACTGATAAGTTAAAACCAGCAGCAAGGACAATAACAGGAAGTAGAATCATGCAGGGACTCCTGGAGACCTTCTCAGTGGAGGGTCATCTGCATGGAGTTTGGAGAACTGTGTTCCCTTCTCTCTTTATCCACAGTGAGGAGCCACGGGTGGGAAAGAAGGGTGAGGAGGGGACAGAGGTGGAAAATAAAAGAACCCAAGGAAGTTGAGGGAGAGCAGCAAGGCCTTAATTTGGTACTTGGCTTCACCAGAGTGGTGGAAGGTACAGTGTGATATTAGTGTGGCTTCTAAACCTTGCTTGGACCCTGACCAGCTGGGTTGAAGAAGAATCTCTATTTCCAACACACCTCCACCCAAAAAGGAAAATTAAAAACAAAAACAACAACAACAAAAAAAACCTAAACTAAAACAACTTTGCCTCAGTTCACACTCTAATCCCATGAACTCTGGGGAGATATCAAAAGTTATAGAAACCTAGAAGTGGCATCTTTTGTCAATTTGGGATCCAGTCTGACTTAACCTTAAATGATGCATTTTCCTCTAAAATGGAAGCAAAATGGGCTTGATTTGTGATGTCTCCTAAAACCTGACTGTCTACTGAGCCAGCATGGACCCTGAATACCCAACACTCGAATACACGGTGAGGGTGAGCTTTGTTAATTCCACAGTCTTCGAGAGAGCTCTGAGTACTTGCAAATGTGTGGATCTATCAAGAGGTGTCCCAGGAGTTTAGTAGAATGGCAAAACCATCCAAGAATGGGGCCTCTGCGCAGGACCTGGGGAAGAGGGATGCACAGGGCTGGGTCTCAGAGAATGGTGGGATTTGGATGAGAAGAGGGGAGGTAGGGGCATTGGCTAGGTTAGCCTGTATGGAGCTCAGGATTCAGGTACAGGGAGTGGTTGGAAACAAGTCTGTGAAGAGGGAGGAGTTCCAGATGGGCATGGAGGGACTTGGACACTGAGGCAAGAAGACCACCATGCCACCATGACAGTATTCAGGAGTGAGATGATGAGGGTCTGAACCCACCTAGGGGCAGGAGGGTGGATTTGACCAGGAGAGGATGCATGTTTCTGTCTGGAGAGAGGAAGAGAGAGTGTGGGGGAGAGAGAGAGAGAGAGAGAGGGGCATGGTTGTTGTAGTGCATAAAAGGGCACCTGGTACCTGGAAATGCCAGGTCCTCTTCTCCACTCCTGACCACCCCCCTCACTCTTAGCCCCTTGATCCTCCACTGTACTGTCCTTATTGCCTCCAGGGACCACAGGAACAGGAATAGAGGAGGGAAAATCTGTCCTCCTCTCCATGTGTGCATATTCACTTGTTCATTCTTTCAATCAAAAAACAAAACAAGCCCATGTATTGAACAACATGTCCCAGGCGCCAGGGTCACTGATGTGAATAGGACATGGTGTCTCTGCTGTCACTGTGCTCACAGTTGAGTGAGGGAGAGGAGAACACAAAGTCACCTATCCAAGGTGAAAGTGTTAGGTGATAAGGGGAAGGGTAGAAGTGCCAATATAATCCAGGGAAGGAAGTAATTCACCTGCTCCATTCTCTGCTCGACACATATTGTCTGAGGACCTACTCTGTGTGGGTCCCCACTGTGTTGGTGGGAGAGAGCAGTGGAAACACTGTCTGCAGGAAGCTCTGCCGGTTGTGAGCTTGGCCTTGTGTCCTGTGATGTTTGCCTCTGACCTAACACCAGGGCAGGACTGGGAGGTTAGGGTGACCTCGGGTGTCTGGGTCTCTATGAATCCCTGTCTGTGGATATGTTTGTGCATGTCTGAGTAAGCTGGCCCCTGGGGACCCTGTCAGGGCTCCCTGTGGGGGCACAGATCTTGCAAAGACTGAGACGATAAGGTGTCCAGGAGTCTTTGACCTCTCAAATCCCCAGTGGGCACATTGGCCTTTTACCCACCTTGTTCTCTCAGTAAAGCTGTGGAGAAGCCTCGTCTAGGGACTTGGTCTTCCTCCCTTACACCCCTCCCCCCTGCAAGCTGCCCTCTGATGGACGGGGACACATTGATGCCAAGCACAGAACAGCCTTTGTGCTCCGCCACCGGCGGTGATCCATCAGCTCTAACCTGACAGCAGGGCGTCCGGCCCTAATCCCCACCCCTGTCGCCTGGGCACAGAGGCCCCCTGCCCTGACTGCAGCCTCTTCTTCCAGCAGTCCTGCTCTCGCTGGAGGCAGCCCTTATCCCCTGCGGGGCTCCGGGACCAGGCTGTTGGTTCCCTACCCTGAATATTTCAACTTGACTCTGCCCTGCATTTGCATGCTGGGTCCCTCTCATTTGCGTGGTAGAAATCCCCCTCACCTGCCCTCTGCTTCTGCCTTCCCCTTCTGCTCCACACCTAATCCTAGCTGTCTGGCCTCAGCCTGTTCTAGTCCCTGCAGACCTTGCAGGTAGGCTGACTTAGGCTGCCAGGTTGCCCGGCTAAAATCAAAGCAGATTTCTCATTCTGTAGTCTCTTGTATTTGGAAACAAAAAGCAAGAGGTCTGGAGAGGTAGCAGCTTCTGGCTTCTTCAAACAGGTCCCACTTTGGTTTTCCAGGGCTGGTTCTCTGAGTGTTTTTGATGAGGACTAGTGGGGCCTAGTGTTGGGAATACATGTGCATTCCCATAGGAAACAGGTGCACCAACACGACATGCTCGGGAGCATTGATTATTTGCAAGGCAGTCACTTTACATCAGGGTGAGAAGAGATCAGAGCCACCATGGGATGTCAGAGGTGTGAGGGGCTCCAGGATCAGCTAGCTCACCTTTCCTTTACACACTGGAAACAAGACTGGAGAAGGGACGTGACTTGCCTGAGGGTGCAGAGGACTAGGGTTGGAAGGAGGAAGGGTGTCTGCTCTTGGATGGCTTGAGCTTAGGCCTTAGGGCTGAATCCTGGGAGACTGGCAGGCAATGAGGGGTGTGGGGGTGGGGGGCACAGGCAGACAGACAGTGAGAGACTGAGAGCTCCAGTGTCGTGTGAGTTCAGGTGAGTTGATGGAGAAGGGGAAAAGGGAGGTGTGAGGAGAGGCCAGGGGGAGGCTTGAGGGCTGCAGATGGGAGAAGAGGTCCCAAGCGGATAGGACCAGGGCTGAGAAGTGGAGAGGAAGGGAGGGCCTCAGGCCTCTGGGTCACATTGTTTCCGTTGAGGACTGAGCATCGGGTAACCACTGGGAAATCCTGTCCCTGCCTGGAATCCAGCGCTCAGAGGCAGGATCATCCTTTAAGAATCTCTGGCTTTGGGGTGGGGGAAGGTGTGGGCCTGGAGGCGGAAGAGGTTGGGTCCTGGGAGAGTGGGGGTCAAGGAGAGGTGATAGGTGGAGACAGAGCAGAGAGTTGGTTTTAAAAATAACCAGAACAGGGCTCAGCAGAACATATGGCAATGGGGACCTGGGGACCTGGCTCTGGGGGGGGGGGGGGCTTTGGAAATATGTGTGGGGATTTCTTAAGAAAATTCCATGTCCCTTTGAGGATAGGGCCTTCAACTTCTGGTTAGGTCAGAGGAAAGAACCCTGGAGAAAGACTCAGAGCATGCTGCTGTCAAGTCCTTACTCTGGGTCTCTGTTTACTCATCTGTAAACCAAGATAC